TGTGTGTGTGTGTGTGTGTGTGTGTGTGTGTGTGTGTGTGTGTGTGTATATATATATATATATGTATTTGTGATATATATGTATGTATAGGGCAATCACTAAAAGCAGAGCTCAAAGCTATAATCCTAAAGCCATAACAAATTAAAAGAGATCCCAGGCTGGGCATGGTAGTCCATGCCTTTAATCTCAGAACTAGGGAGGCAGAGGCAGGCAGATCTCTGTGAGCTCAAGATGAGCCTGGGCTACAGAACAAGTTCCAGGACAGCCATGGCTACCTAGAAAGACCTGGTCTAAAAAATAAGAACAAAAAATTCAGATATCCTCAGATAATCCAAAGAAGGCTCCAAAGGGATGCTAGAAAGCCCAAACCAGGGTACATATATAGGAAGCACATAAAATCCACTGTCTCACAAACAGCACTAGGTTTGGGATGTGCTCTATCACAGGATGCTGTCAGTGGAAGAACCTGAGGATGTGGAAGAACCAATTATGCAGGATGGTGATGGGGATTCTGGTCTCAACGCCTGTGGGTAAGAGAGGAGACGAGCAAGCAAGAAGTGTGAGAGGGTTGCCTGAGTTTTGATGGCAGGCTTTCTGATACACAGAGGGACATAATTCACCTGGCTCCCATACTGTTCTGTGGGGGCTAAGACTGCCTTCTAATTCTGGATTTGGAGACACTGTTCTGAGCCATTTGGGTTCAATGTCTTGAACCTCAGTCTCCAACTTATTCCAAAATGTCATCTGTGTGTCAGTCTTTGGGCCTACACACTCTGACCTCTGCTGTCTCTTGAGAAGCTACCAGAGGTGGTCTTGGCCCTGAACCCTGTTCTTGTCTCAGTCTCCTCTGATCCTGACTTTGGCTCTTCTTCAGTACTCACAGTCTGTTCTTCTGACTGACCCGTGGGCATGCCTAACCTCGCGGTTTTATTGATTCAGTCTCTCGGTTCTTCTAGGATTTCTCCTTCCTGTGGCTCCCAATACTTGATGGAAGAGACCCACATGCCAGAGGAGGCCCAGAGGTGGAGCCAGTGGACAGAAATGCAGAGATTCTAGAAAGATCTGGCTCACAGAACTCTCTTTAACCACATTCTGAGGCAGAGTTTGCACAAGATGGCATCTTTTTCAGCAGGATCGATGGAAGCAGCCACTGGCATGCTCAGGTAGGACCTGCAGGCTGCAAAGGTCTTCTTTGCTACCAAAATGCTTTTGTCTGCATGTGTTTAAGAGGATAAAATCAGGTGTGCTGACAACACCCGCCCCTCCCCGCCACCCCGCAGCCCGCAGCGGGGGTGGGGGAATTGGGGTCAACATCTAATTTGAAGTTTTTAAAGTGGACGCAAAACTGTTTCCGAAATGCAGACAATTAAGCGTGTTGCGGGCAGCGTGTCTTCTGATCGCCCTACTGAGTTATCTGCACGCAGATGTTTTTGAACTGTGGCCTCTCCCCCTCATTTGAAAACTCAAAAGAAAAGCCCGTCCCTGAGGTAATTCGCGGCCGCCCAAAGACTCCTTTCTGGAATGCTGGGACTCCGTTGATCTCAGGGATGATCCCTCTCCTATTGATAAACTTGCCAAGAGCAAACAGAAACCCCTCACTGCCGGAGCCCAGGGAAAAGCTGGCCCAGGATCTGAAGGCTGTCAAGTGTGTGGGGTGCTGTGCTCTCTGCCTAAAGAATGTGTGTGATGAAGTCATATCGCTGCCCTGGAGCCTCTAAACGCACAGGAGAACCACAGCGTGTCTGCAGTGAGCGGCCCTCCAGAGCCCTTTCTGTACCACTGGCGGCATCCTCACACTAAAGTAATGTTTAAGTCAAATTAAAGATTAAAAATTAAGATTCATTCCCGCAATAATGATAAATGCCCTACCCCTGTCCACAGGCACCAGTAAGAGAAGAGGCCAATGGTTTATCCCCGCAGCCCCCGCACCTCCCCCCCCCCCCCCCCCCCCCCCGCCTCCCAGTACTAGTTAATTCTGAATAATTATGTCTTGTCTGAAAGTGATAATAACAATCCTAGGAATTCTGCTCCTGAAGTTCAGCGTGTAAGTTGTTTTAGTGGAATGCATAGACAATTGCAAGAAGAATAAGCCTTAAAAGATAACAACAATATTCTATTTAGCCTACAAAGCAGAACACTGCATCTCTGAATGAAAAAAATAAGAATAACATGATTTTTCCAGTGCTAACAAGTACAAAAACAATAAATTGGGATCATTTAAAGTTTTCCACTTTTTAAAAACAAGACCTTTTCTACATAGCCAAGGCCCTGATTTGATGAGAAATGAAAGTATTAGCAACTAGAGAAATTAAAAATAAATAATTTTCCCTCTTACAATGAAAACGCTAAGCTCAGAGGAACTAAGTAAGTGGCTGGGTGTTAAGTCTGAGTTGAGTGTCTCTGGTGCCAGCATTAGAGCACACTGGAGTGACAGCAGTGAAACATTAACCATTAAGAATGGGAGGGGACATCCTGGTTTTGGTTTGCTAGACCCAAAAGTCTTGACTCCGTTTGGCCATTCTTTGCTGAGAAATTTCAAGTGGACTCTGCAGAGTACACTAGAGATTCCCATGGGCTTTTTGGTGGTTAACTGTTCTTGAGTCCAGGTTACAAGGCCATTTGATTGTAACCATCAGCATGACAGTTTGGACAGAAGTGGTGCCAGAATGTTTGCTGATGAAATGAGCACTGAGTGCTGCCAAGGGCTACTGAGAGTTCTTGGAGTTCAGGCACAGAAATCAGTTAGTGGCTGCTTAATGCACAGTGGATAAAAGGAAGGCACGAGGAGGAAGGAAAGAAGGAAGGTAACAGAGGGAGAAAAGGAGGGAGAGAAGGAGGAAGGAAGGGGAGAAAGGAAGGGAGGGAGGAGGGCCAGCTAGTCAAGGCAAATCATGAAGGTTTCTTGTTCTTTGAGAGTATAGTTCATTACAGAGGGAAAGGCATGGTGTCAGGAGTGTGCAGCTGGGACTCCTAAGGTCCCTCACGTCTTGATGGAGCAGAAGGAGGGGACAGGAAGTAAGGCTGGAATCTAACCTAACATCAATGACCCATTCCCCACAGTTAAGGTTTTACCTCCTAAAGGTTCTACAAAGACACCCCGCTGGGGCACAAGCATTTAAACACACAAGCCTGTGGGGGACACTTCACCCTTAAAACACAATACCTTGTCTGTGTAATGTCTCCCATAGCTTCTGTGTCCCTGAGTGGTTTGGCTGTAACCATGGGTTGGTGTGGGAACAGCTGTCCCCCAAATAAAACAAAGCTCTGGCTCTTCAAGGGTGGACAGACACCACACTGAGTGTCCTGCACAGGTGTCTGACTGAGGGCTCCCAGGCTCTCCTCCATCTCACTTCACACCCTGAGACAACGTACATTGTGGTTTCAGGTCAACGTCATAGGCTCCAGCTATCCTCACTCATACGCTTCCCAGCCTGTCCCTGTGGCGGTAGCCGGAAGTGTGAAAGCAAGATGAAAATTCACAAGCTGAAAATCCAAAAGAAACTCAGTTCTATGCACTGTGTATTCCGTATGAGAATACTGTAGTGTCTTCCATGGATTATTTTCTTTAATAAGTGTCCTTTCATGCCAGGTGTGATGGTGCACGCTTTTAATCCCCAAACTCCAGAAATAGAGGCAGAGGTGGAGGAGGAGGTGGTGGTGGGGAGACTCTGTCTCAAACAAGAGAAAAAAGTACTGGGGCTGGAGAGATGGCTCAGTGGTTAAGAGCACTGTCTGCTCTTCCTAAAGGACCGGGGTTCAATTCCCAGCACCCACATGGCAGCTCACAACTGTCTGTAATGCCCATTCCAAGAGATCTGACACCTTCACACTAATGCACATAAAATAAAGTTAAATAAATTATCTAAAAAAAAAAAAGAAAAAAGTGCTTATTCTTTTCTGATTTTAAATATAAAAAGGTCATTTAAAATGATAGCATATACCATGCCAAAAGTAAAAGAAACAAAATTATGTGTTATTTTACTAATCCCTGTAAACATGTTAGTTCTTGTAAACTTTTAAAACAAATCCTCCTATTTTTTTCTCCTGCTGAGATCATGGTGTTCTGCTTAAAAAAATAAAACAAAACAAAAGTCATCTACTCACCTCCGCTTTCTTTTTTTTCTCTCTCTCTGAGAGAAGTTCAGCTCTCCTTTTAGCGATTATATCGTCCTGTTGAAGAAACATTTGCAAGTTTACAATAGAAAAAAATATAATAAGATCACTTGCTACGAATTAATGCACCTTTTCCAAGCTGGGGCTAACCCATGGGTAGGGTCCACACCAGGAGAACAATTGACGGTGATTGACCAAGCACATCCTTATTCTTCTGGGCTATCTCCCTTCCAAGGGATAAACAGCCCGAGGGGCCTGGCCACTCCACATGTCTTAGGCTCTTTTGGAAATGTATTGTACATTTTCTTGTTTGGGGTGGACCCTGGATTTCACACGCAGAGAAATACCGAGAGGCAATGTGCTGAAAACTTTTGGAAATCTATTTTTCTCACTGTGAAGACGTATCTTTGAGATCACGACTGTATCTGTGAGAAAAGCACATGCGTGCTGCAGAGGGCGAATGATCATGCCCTTCTTTATGGGGTCCTCCAAGACTAACACAGTGGATCTCTTCATATGTCCTTACAGTTGTTTTTTTGTTTTTTTTGTTTTTTTTTTTTTTCTGCTTGGCTCAGGACCCCTACAGTGTGCCTGCCAGAGGTGGACACTGCCTTGGGCATTATGATAGATGTTCTGTCATTTTCTTCAAAAAATTCAAAATATCAAGTCAGGCAGTGCCACCTCTAAACGTAAGTTAATAGGAACCCAGAGAGAACTATGTGACGTCACCAGGGTGTGAGCCTCCCCTATAAGGAAACACGGACACACCTGGTGCAGCTGCTGCAGTGAAGGGATTACACTTAATGCAGCTGAAAAAACAAAAAACAAACAAACAAAAAAAAAACAGTAGGAAATGGGTTTAGAACAAGACTGGGCTTTCAGCCCCTGATGGTGCAATCTGATTTGGGAGACTGGTCTGTGAGTAGCTGGAAGGATGAGCCGGAGAGTACAGAGTCCAGTCCAGGAGAGACCACTGAGGGGCTCATCATGAGGGCACTTCTGTGAACACAAAACCCCCCTGAGTTGGTTTAGTTAATGGTAGGTGTGAGCTTCTGCACTAGTTACCAAGATACTCTGCCTTCTGGCTCTGGCTCTCTCACTGCAATGCTGCCTTTAGTAGTGAGAATTTTTGGTTTTTAAAAAAAAAAAAAACAACGCAGAAGTGGTATTGGATTATGTTTTTTTGTGTCGATGTCAGATGTGGGATATGGGACTGCTTCAGAACAACTAACTATGGTTTGCCGCAAGCTCTAGCAGGGGCGTGATTTTGCCAGCTACAGGTAGTTATGTTTGGCATTCTGGGGACTCTTGGTAAATGCTAGAGCGCCCCCTGCTGTTGCTGTTTGCTGGATTGCTGGTTGCTGAGTGCCATTTGCGGTTTGCTCGATTGCCGGTTGTGGGTTGGAGATAGGATATCCTGAGGACAAAGATCAAATTTACCCCAAGGAACTTGATGCCCCTGATCATCAGGAAGTAGTCTAATGAAATCGAAGCCCCGCTCCCCTCTAACCTCCTTTCTCTCCTACCTACTGTTGGGGTGTTGGAAGGGATAGAGTGGTGTAGGGAGGTAGGTAAGAGATTCTAATAAAAAGCCAGAAGACCGGCTACAGCCTCTGTTGTGCCCTTTGGTCTGCTCCTGTGGCTGACAGAGGGAGGCCTGGACATCACTATTTTGGGAAGAGAAGCATTAAAATGTCGGTGATCAAAAAAGCTTCAGATAAACTTGACACTTGGAAGGTACAGATAGGCAGATTTCTGAGTTCAAGGGCAGCCTGGTCTACACAAGGAGTTTCCAGACAGCCAGGTCTACATAGAGACCCTATCTCAAAAAGACAAAACCGAAAAGCTTCTAATAATTTTTAATTCTTATTAAAGGATAAAATATTTGATGAAAATGCTTTCATCCTTACTGTGGCATTAACATCTGAAAACTCCATTCTTGTGAAGACTACTTTAAAAACCTAAATAGGTGATAAACGACCATATTCCTATGTATCTGTACCTTGATTTTTGTCTTCATGTCTTTGATGAGTTTTTTCCTTTCCAATTTCCTTTGCTGTTTCAACTTCCACTTCTGAACTTGTGCCGGAAGGAGGCGATCAAAGATATCTTGATCTTCAACTTGTATTACGACGGCAGCGTCTGGGAAAAATCCGTGCTCTCCTAGAAATTGAGCCTCCTCGGGGAACCGAGGGAAGCCATCCAGGATAAAGCCTGTGGAGCTGGGTGGAAATTTTCATAATTTGCTTAAAACATCACTGATATTCCAGGTAGGCCACACCCAAAAAGGCAAGCATCCCACATCTCTCTCCAATCTCTCATCTGTCTATCATCTACCTGTCTGCCAAGCTGCCAATTTCTGCGCAGCATCTATGACATGAAAGCGGAAGAGGAACTATGAGAGGGAAGGGACCAGTGGGAGTGTGGAGGGGTAACGGAGAAGGTAATGAGGTGGAACAATTCATTATATGTATATATGAAAATGTCACAACAAGCTCATTATTTTGTATGATAACTTAAAAAAAACAGATAATAAAAATATTGTATTAGAGATCTGTTCATACTGTATTGATATAGAGGGCACACAGTGCTTGTGCACACAGATAGGCACTGGAGAAGCCGGGAGGTTAGACTCACAGGCATTCTTCAAAGGAAAGGTCTTTACCTTGGCCCCTCTCCTGGAGATCTGGGAATGGATCACCTGGTGATCTTCTGCTGTCTGACGATCCAGGCTTTGCCTGCATCTTCCAGAATTTATGTTTTACTTATCCCAGCCCTTCACTATGCTTAAATATGGCAAAAATATATGAACTGATGTCAGACTCTTGACATCTTGGCCCAGCACGGTACCTAAAAATCGGGCTGAACTGAGTTTCATTCTTGTCTCTTCACAGATTGTATTCTGTGCCGGCTGTAAGGCCTCCAGAGACATATTATCTCTGCATGGATTATAGATTTTAACATAGGTTGATAAATCTTGACTTTATCAGCTGTGTAATAGTTTAATGAATTTATAGTAGTGTTATTATCAGAGCTTCTTAAACCTTTTCCACTTGCCAATCTCCCCCCCCCCTTTTTTCAAAACAGGGTTTCTCTGTGTAGCCTTGGCTGTCCCAGACTCACTTTGTAGACCAGGCTGGCCTCAAACTCACAAAGATCCACTTGCCTCTGCCTCCTTGAGTGCTGGGATTACAGGTGTACACCACCTCACCTGGCCAATGCATCAATTTTAATATGATTAAATATTAAAAGTATCCAATACAGCTAAGGGAAGTTAGTGTGTTAACATGATGAATTTTCACATATGGATTAGGTTGACTTGAGTAAAATACAGTTAACCAGTACCTGTACCTGGCCACAGCAAGTTGTAAATGGATTTGTGCTAATCAATACTGTAAATATCACTTCATGCCCTTTTGGGGGACATTAAGGCAGATCTCAGGGAAATGAGGAAAGCTTTCAACTCCAACGACCTGAAGATTTGTCCTGTGTAGGTTATCATTATTGTAGGCTTTTGCTAGTTGGCTAAGATTGGACAGCAGCCCAGCAGTTGCTGTGACAGCTATATAACTGTATTAATAACTATGTAACTATATATAAACTAATCATTGCAAGGGTATGGGGGAAGAGTCCAACACACCTTAAAGGTATGTAGGCTTAGGAAACCATTCTCAACTACAGCTTTGCACTAGAATCACGCAAGGACCCTAAAAGGTATCAGTGCCTGGATTCTCGTCTCAAATTTCAGCAGATATTGATTTAATAGCTTGGGGGTGGGTCTCTGGCACCAATATTTTTCATAAGCACGGATATTTTAATGTGCAGTTTACATGGGTGAATAAGAGTAAATTCTCAAGTACAAATTGAACTATAAGAACAAAGGAAATGACTTGATAAGCTATGGTCAGATGGCAGTGGAGGAGAACTTCCCCTTTCAGTGGACTAGGGGAAGGGGATGGGAGGGATGAGAGAGGGTGGGACCCAGAGGAGATGAGGAAGCGGGCTACAATTGGGATATAAAAATGAATAAATTGTAAATAAATAAATGAATAAGCAAGCAAGAAAGAAAACAGAACAAAGGAAATGAAATCAATAAGAAACATAAGCCCTGATGGGAGATGGTGGCACACGCCTTTAATCCCAGCATTTGGGAGGCAGAGGCAGGTGTATCTCTGTGAGTTCAAGGACAGCTAGGACTACACAGAAAAACAGTGTTTTGGGGAAAAAAAATAAGGAACTTATTGGGCTGCAGAGATGGCTCAGCCAGGGCTAAGAGCCCTGACTGCTTTTTCATGGGACTGGGGTTCAATTCCCAGTGCCCACATGGCAGCTCACAACTGTCTGTAACTCCAAGATCTGACACCCTCACACAGACATACATGCAGTCAAAACATTAATGTATATAAAATAAACTACACACACACACACATATATACACAAAAGAAACATAAGCCCTTGTGTATGAAGGTACCGTATTGGTTCTTTAAACCACCACTCAGACAGTATGGACTCTAGAACTTCTGGAGGCAGGGGCTCATTCTCCGTTAGGCTCATCTTGATTGCTTCTTCTTCTTCCGTGAATTGTATTTCTGGAAGCTGAAGGCAAAGGTTAGAAAGTAAGAGGACTCTCAAGCCCCACTCCAATGGGCAGCACTGCTTCACATCAATGGCTATATTGAGACGGATGCTTTTTCCTGGGGTCGCTTTTGATACTGTTAGTTGCAACCATTTTAAAACCTGAGTTCTGTGTGCCAACATATAATATGATTAAATACTAAATAGTGCTAAATGTACTAAGAGAAGTCACTAGGACAGCATGCTTGATTTTCATATATGGCATGGGGGTCATTTTTTCTTTTCTTTTGCCAAAAACCTGCTTGATGCACACCACATATCTGTAAAGCTTAACTGATTTTTGCCATCTGTCCTATAATTATACAGTAATATGCCTTAAACCAGATCCTAATAGAGGAGGTCAACCAGACAATTATCTGAAGCAATTCTCGAAGGGGCTTATAGCATCACAATAATGAAAAGGAAATATTGTGATGATGAACTCATGTCACCTTTCTCTGAAGATGACCCTCAAATGGGTAATAAAAAAAAAACATGTCAGTTATTTCTGGAATGGATCTATTAAAAAAAAAAAAGATTTATTTTTACTTCATTTGGGGTCACTGGATTCCTCCATCTGTGCGCACCCACTGAAACCCTTTTTTTCTGTTTCCACCGTGATTCTTGCTGGCATCCCAGGGTGGTGATTGGGTCTAGCCCGCCATGGCTGCTGCAGCCTGGATGCTGGCTTTAAACCAGCTTCTGCAGCAAGCACAGCAGTCCTCAGGGCCATCGCCAGGGTTCCTATTAAATCTCAAAACTGTGAGGAGAAAGCCCAAGGGCAGGCTTGTCCAATTAGAGTGCACTTAATTTAAAAATGGACATTGGCTAGGTCTATCCCCAGGATTCTCAGAGAATGGCACTCAGTTAGCTCAGTCAGGTGCTCAAAAAGGCAAAACCCACAAAGGCTATGGTACTTCCTGCCTTTGTCCAATGGGGACAAGCGTGTGTCCTGACGTACTTCCTGCCTGTATTCCTCCCGCCTGTCTGTGAGCAGAGCATATTCTGTGCAGTTGTCGCAACCAAAATTGTTTACCGAAGTGAAAATACATGACTTTTTTCTCACATGAAAAGCAGGCCCCAGCATCCTGGGAAGTCATCTTGACCTTGGGCTAACTTTAGCTCTTACCTGCCTCTTTGCGCTTTCTTCTTCAATCTTCATGTTTGCCTGAGCTGCAAGCTCTTCAAATTCTTGCTTTGCTGCTTGCTCCTCCTCGGAATCGTCCTCAAATTCAGGTCCAAATTTCCTTTCGGCCTTGAGCATTAATTTTTCTTGAAGAAATTCTTCGAATTGAATGTGAAAAATGCTGAAGTTCTGTGCCAGCTTTCTTCCACATAAAGTTTTGCCAGAGCCATGGTGACCTATAAGACATATCCTTATCGGAGGAGCCTGCCACAGAGGGTGGGACAGGCAGGGAGGAGCAGAGAACAAAGGAAAAGAAGCCATGAGTAATTAGCCTAGTGGTGCTCAAACCTGTAATACAAACACTCAGGCAAATGAGGCCAGAGCTTGTCTCAAACAAACAAACAAACAAACAAATAACTCCCCCAAAACCAAAATAAACAAAACAACCACTTCTCCCCACCAAAAAAAAAAAAAAGAGGAGAAGAAGCCTTTCTAAAGAAAATGATTTTTAACTTTTACGTGTATGAGTGTTTTACCCGAATGTATGTATGTGCACCCTTCGAGCACCTGATGCCCCAGGAGGTCAGAAGAGGGCGATGGATGCCCTGGATCTGGAGTTATGGAGGACTGTGAGTTACCATGCGGGTGCTAAGAATTGAATCCAGGTGCTCTGAAAGAGCAACAAGCACTCTTAACTGGGTGGGCCATCTGTCTAGCTCCAGGAATTTTTTTTAAATAGTCTGTTTTTAGGGGTGTTAGTACATGTAAGTGTGGGTACCCAAGGAAGAAGGGTGGGATCCCCTGCAGCTGGAATTATAGGTGGTTGTGAGTCACTCAACATGTCAAACAAACTCAGGTTCTCTGCGAGAGTAGTGTGCATTTTTAACTGCCTGAGTCACCTCTCCAGCCTCCTGTAGACAGGAATTTTTACTTTATAGTTTCAATTATATTCGGGCATCAGGATAGCAGTGAACAGAATTTATTGCAGCAAAATGGCGTTTAGTGGGTAAGAACAGCCATCATTGTCCCGATATGTATGCCAAAAGGCATTTCGTGGAGAGCAGCTTCACCTAAAAAGTGTTTTCATGTTAAGAAGGAACAGAAAGACTCTTAGTATGATTAGGAAGGATTTCGCCACCAAAGGATGGAACTTCAAAGACCTTGCCCCTAATTCCTGTGGTGTCCACACTGAGAGTGAGGAAGCCCAAAGCCACTTTCCGAAGTGTTATGTGATCATCCCATGTATGGAAAGCGATCAAGGACAAAGGTTACAGTTGAGGTGAAGAGGGAGCCAAGGACTCATGTGAATGTGGGAAAATGACTATAAAACTGGTAGAGGACAGCAGCAAGGTGGAAGATGGCATTGTTTGGGTATGCTGGGCCTCAGAGGAACACAGGATTTTGTAAGAGAAAGAGGTATTTTGAGAAGCAGAAGAAACAAGAATCACAGCCTCACAGTTTTTGTTTTGTTTTGTTTTGTGACAGAAATGTTGGGAGTCCAGAGACGTAGTTGAGGAGGCCTGCGACACAGCTCAGTTGACAGAGCACTTGCCTAGTGTGCAAGAAACCCTAGGTCCAATGACCGGAACAGCATAAACCCGCTGTGAGGGTCCATGCCTGTAATCCCAACAGTTGAAATGTAGTGGCCTTCTTTGATACATAGAAAATTCAAAGGCCATCCTGGAATGCTGGAGACCCTGTTTCAAATAATAGCAGCAGCAGCAACAATAACAGCAAAACATGTAGCAAATGCATAGCTCCAAGATTCTGGGGACTTCATGAGCCAAATACAACAAATTAGAAAGACTCATGGCAATTTTAAGAACACCGAGAACAAAGAGAAGACATTATGGGTTTCCAGATCTTAAAAAAAAGAGAGGTTATGTATAAAGCAATGAGTCTCAGCCTAGCCTCACTGGATGCTGACACACAAGAAACAACTTAATATTCAGGAAGGAAAATGATGTGCTCTCTAGAAACCTGTGCTATACAAACTGGCAAGCACATCTGAGCTATCAGATAGGAAGGACAGTCCCCCAACACAAGACAATATGATCTAAATAAGCTTTGACTCTGCCACAGCACAATTCTTTACAATTCTGTGTTAGCATCTGGAGTGCCTGCTTAAAAGCCAACCTTGATTGATCCCATGATTTTTCCATCATTAGCTCAAGCTCTGGATCTCTAATTGATTTAAGTCAATGGATGGGTACATCATTGGAGAGAAACAGTGAGAAAACAGAATGCTGGACGGTGAAAGTAAAATGAAGAAATACTGACCCCCCTCCCTGGAAGACGGAGCCACCTGGTACCCAGAGGGTGTTTTCAGACAGCTGGCCAGCAATGTCTCTTGCAAACCCAGAGCAGGAACCGAGAAATGACCTTCAGAGGTCCTGGGTCCTCTCTGGGTGGACTTGTCGTAGATATGACTGTGGTACATGTCTTTGATCCCAGTACTCAGGAGGCAGAGGTGGTGATGGTGGAATCTATTTGAGTCTGAGGCCAGCCTGGTCTACACAGTAAACTCTAGGTCAACCAGGGCAGGAAAAGAAAAGACATAAAAAGGGGTAGCTTCAGGGGTAGGGTTCTTGTGTGTAGACCTTAGTGGGTCCCACATGGTGGCAAGAGGTAAGCAACTCCTGGGGGTTGTCTTCCGAACTCCACAGGTGTGCTGTGGCATATGTGTGTTTGCACATACATACACACATTCAAAAATAAGCAAATAAATAGGGAAATTAAAATAATCATTGGTACAAATATGTAAATACATTACACCTTGGTCCAGTGATCCCATCACAGTGAATTATAGTAACAAAAGAATTGAAGAGAAGCAAGAATTATATGTTCATGAATTACTAATTATCATTTAATATCTGTAATAGAAAATTGTTTTATGAAAGATGTCTATCAATGAATTAGATGTCAAAGCCGTTGAGATCTGTGTAGGAATACATACATTTTCTGTAAGTGAAGAAAAAGCAGATTATAAGATATTATTTGGACATGTGTTACATGTTGACTGTAAGCTGTTACAGATGGTTGTGAGCTGCCATATGGTTTCTGGGAACTGAACTAGGGTCCTCTGGAAGAGCACTTTTTTAGCTCCTGAGCCATCTCACTGGGCCCTGACAGTGGGACTATTTGTGACTCTAAATATCAGGTAGGAAAAACATAAGACTAAGTGCTGGTTTGACATAAGCAATATTATAGAAGTCAAAACGGATAATGATTTTTATGCCATACTGCTAAAAGCTGTTTTATTTTAAAACCTAGCTATTATTACTGTGTTTTTGTTTTGTTTGTGGTTGGCTTTTGAGGAGGTTCGAGGCTTCCCTCAGAAGCCACTGATGGGAAAACTTGGGTGCAGTCACGAGCATAGGGATATGGTTTTCACCTTTAATGGTTCATTCTGGGCCACGTAGTCCTCAGGGTGCTCTATAAACTTTTCCTTAGCCTCAGGTGATGAAAAGTAGTATATCTTCTCTCGGTATTTAACAGCCTCCTCTACATTGCCTGGTTGTAGAACAAAGTTTTCTTTGAGAACCACTGGGCAGAAATGTTTTGTGTCTCCCATGTGCCTCCTTTTCTCTTTGATTTTTTCTTCACCCTGGAAATATTGTCCAATAGTGAAAATCCGAGTTTTCCTTCTGCCAGTATGCACATGTTCTGAGCTCTTCCTATGAGCACCACCCCCCTTCAGATTCTGCTTGCTAAACAGCTCTGTATACACAAAACCCAGACGCACATGTAAGCACAAATACAGAAGTTTTGAAACTAGAAGTGGGATGTTTTGCAAATTATTCCATAGCATTCTTAGGTTCACAAAAGAAGATGCCACAATCCTTTTCCGTACAGCCGCAAAACTGACAGGAATCAGGTGAGCTGTTGTCTGCCCCCTGGCTAACCCAGCAGGAAAGGGTAGTTTTAGATCACATTTGAAATTGCAGGAGGGGCGCTTCACTCATTGGAAGCCAACCACTGGAGAACGGGGCTGCCAGGACACACAGTGGGTACGCGGGGAGCTGTCTGGTAAGGAGCAGTTTTCCTGACAAACCCAAAGCACTTCGTGTTGTGAGGAACTGCGAAGTCACTTCTGGGTTTCGGGGTCATCGCCGTGTGGCTTTATGTCGAGGAAGATGGCAGATCGAAAGAAGTGAATCAGACCAAGAGGAAATGCAGAGGAGAGAGGACACATTCTTCCTCTGTGCTGATTTGGGGGGGGGGGTCTTTCTAAAGTGTGCTAGATACTGCTCATACTTTTTTTTTTCTAGATATATTTTATCAAGCTGAGAAAGTTCCCTTTGGTTTTTTGATATACTATTTTAAACTTACTATTTGAGAATTTCAGATATGCACACAGTGAATTTGAAAAATTTTGCCCCTGAGTTTTTACCCTCAAACTGGGCCAATCTCTCTCCCAACTTGATTTTCTTTTAAATTACCCACTGATTGCAGTCAGCATTGTCCATACACTCATGAGCGTCAGGAGCACGGCCAACCTACCAGGAACCACACCCTTTAAAGAAAACTGACTTGGAGCCGGACGTGGTGGCACACGCTTTTAATCCCAGCACTCAGGGAGGCAGGGGCAGGCAGATCTCTGTGAGTTCAAGGCCAGCCTGGTCTAAAAAGCAAGTCCAGGACAGCCAAGGCTACACAGAGAAATCCTGTCTCGAAAAACCAAACCAAACCAAACCAAACCAAACCAAACCAAACCAAACCAAACCAAACCAAACCAAACCAAACCAACAATACCTGACTCTCCCTCCCCCAGAAGCCATCAGTAATTCCTCATGTAGGGGGCTCATATTCTCCTCTATGCCGATTATTTTTTTAAAGCTATTTGTCAGCATATACCCTTTGTTTTCTATAATCACCAATAAAGAACGATTTTGCCAAATTCGCTTCTACATCAGTTGGGATAGTCACTTGGACTTTACTTTCAACCTCCTTCCAGGAAGATGAGTTACACTGAGTGTTGTCTGAATGTTAAACCAAGAATTTCTAGGGCAAACTCTGCTTGGATCTGGTGTATTATTGTTTTGATACATGTTTGAAATTCCGTAAAACTTTTCTTAATTGTTTCTGTGTCAATGTTCACAGAGGTCTACTGTTTGTTATTCTTTTCTTTCCTTTGGTGTGTTTGGATTTGGATAACAGAAAGACACGGATCTCCTAGGAGGAGTTAGAGAATTTCCCCTTCTCTTCAGTTTTCTGGGAGGGTTCAAGTAGAGTCAGTTTTATTTCTTCCTTATTTGGCAACATTTACCGGAAATGCTGTCTGTGTTTCATATCTTCCTTTCAGCTTCGGTATGTCTGAAGAACTCTTTAGTTTGCCTTCGGTTTTAAAGATAAGGTGTCACTAGCCGTACAAGTCTAAGTCTTCAGCATTTGTCAGCTGTTGCCCTACCGTCTTTTGGCTTACACAGGTTTCCATGAGAAACAGGCCGTCATCCAATCACCGTTCCTGTTCTTGTGAAAGCGGCACACCCTTGTTCTCCTGCCTCCTCTAAGATGTTATTTGCAACTTGAATATGACATACTTGGTGCTGTTTTTGTCATGTGTTTTGTACACGGGATTCACTGACCTTCTTGATTCTGAGACTGTGGTGACTTGAATAGGAATGGCCCCATAGACTCATGTGTTTGAATGCTTGGCCCATAGGGAGCACCATTTGGAGACGTGGCCTTGTTGGAGTAGGTGACCTTGTTAGAGGAAGTGTGTCATTGTGGGGGCATGCTTTGAGGTCTCCTATGCTCAGTTTACAGCCAGTGTGACACACAGTCTCCTCTGCTCCCTGAGGATCAAGATGTAGAACTCTCAGCTTCTCCAGAACCATGTCTGTCTGCACGCTGCCATGCTTTCTGCCATGATGATAATGGACTAAACCTCTGAAACCATAAACCATCCCCAATGAAATGTCTTCCTTTATAATAGTTGCCTTGGTCATGGTGTTTCTTCACAGCAATGAACCCCACTAAGACCTCTGAGCATTTGTAAACTGTTTGGAATACTGAAAAAAAAAACAAAACTGTCCTTTCTTCAATTACTACTTTCTCTCTCCCCAACACATATTTTGTGAGTTCCTGTTATATGTACAACAGTTCCAATGATATGTATACAATATATGTTCTTTGAAGCTTTCTGTGCGTGCTCTTCTCATTGTCTTTCTTGATTCTTCTCCTTTGTTTCATGTTAGATACTTTCCCTTTCTTCAAGTTCCCTTTTCTGCATTGTCTACACTGCCATTATTCCAGCCCATGCATATTCTTCACATTTTCTCCTTTCCATACAGATCACATTGTGATCACATTCTCTCTATCTCTGCTTCTTGTTTCACATTTATGGGACATGGTAATAACAGCACTTCAATGTCCTTATCAGCCAGTGCTAATGTGTTTGTCAGTTCTAGAGCAGTCTGAGTTGGTGGCTTTGTTTTTCTTTTCATTGTGAATCATATTTTCTTACCAGATTTGGCAATCCTTGAGAGGGTGCCAACGTTTATGTCATAACACCATCAAGGCTTTTGAGTTTATTCTTAAACACAGTTGAATTGCCTGAAAGAAGCTGAATGCCTTTGGCCCTTGCTGTTATGGTAGCTGGAGCAAAACACATTTATTTCAGATCTAATCACGCCCATCCCTGAAGTCAGGCCCTCGCTGGCGCTGTGCCCACTGCTTTGCACTGTATGCTGCAGTGTCAAAGAAGACCAGATATACAAGTTTTCAGTATGATATATGATAGACAGCTTAAGAATTGCCTGCAGAGACACAGCAGGAACAATGCCATTGTAGACTAGAAGAACACTAGAAAGCATTGCAGAAAAGTTTAGATAAGAGAGGCTGTCTCTGAGCAAGACGAATCTCATATCCTTCGGCCATGTTCACATCATCAGTTCCTTGGTGATAAAGTACTGGACTCTGCTGACAGAATTCACTGCTTATTGTTTGTTGCTAAATGCTTACCCACTCCTATGTCTTTGCATTTAAATTAGGCGATGATATGTTAATTACAGGTCCGTGGCTACTTAACTCATTTAACTTAGTAAATTATATTTTTATTTGTAAAACTCACATTGAAAGAACAATTTCCTGTCTTCTTATTGATTTATGGCTAATCTGGGTATTAACAAATGATGATGTTTATTATAATTCTGGTGCCAATGATGTACGCTGGTGTCTGAATATGGGTTGATCCTACTGAGCTTTGTACATTATTGTCACATGATAATTATACCTCAATGTTGTCTTGCACATGCCTATTTATATTAACTATAAAATATTTATAATCTTAATAATCACATATTTTTTTTTCCATAGAAGAAGAAAGTAAAAAGATTTTTATGTTTTCTTGGGTAGCTTTTTTTTTCACATTAAGTAGCCTTGGCACTAAATTTTTTTTTCCAGACAGGTTTTCTCTGTATAGCCTTGGCTGTCCTACACTCTATTTGTAGACCAGGCTGGCCTTAAAAGTCACTGAGATCCACCTGCTTCTGCCTCCCACGTACCAGGATTAAAGGAGTGCCTACCATACCCAGCCTTAGACCTGGCATTTAAAAGAGTCACAGGAAGCTGGGGCAAATGAGGACATTTTCATTCTTGATGTTTGAAGATGCCTACTTGTTCACCTGGTGGGGGCAATACCAAAGTGAAAATTACCATTCTGGACACTCACATGTCTCAGTGATTGCCCGTGGACAGTACATACCTCCTCCTCTTCCTCTTCCTCCTCTTCCTGCTCCTCGTCAACTTCCAATTCAGCCTGGTAGTCCTCTGCTTCTTCATCATAATCTTCAATATTTAATTCTGTTGCTGCATACTGAAAAGGTCCTGTTTTTTTTTTTTTTTAAAGGGAAATAGTTTTAGAACAAAAAGTTATTAGGATAATAGTCAAAGGTTAGGGAAATTAATTATCATTGATCTCTCAGTTTTGATATGCATGCAGAAGGCCTATACAAGTTCTTTTGTGACAGCCACTCAGCATGACCAGTGATGGTGGGCCCATGGCTGCTCTGATTGGACAGACTATATATTATTTATGATAGTTTGAGAATTTTTATCTATTGCCCTCAGACGCACTGAATTTTCAGTTAAGAAGCCATCGGAGCAGGCTCACAGTCCTAAAATGGTTTTAGTGCTATGCCTGCTCTTTATTGTCAATGTTAGGAATTCAGCCTTACTCTCCATAGTATTAACTACTTTCTGAAGCAGGTCCTTTGCTGTTTTGTTGGTAATATCCAGTGTTAGTATCTGAATGAAACTGTCAATGATATGCGTCTCCAGGGTCTTCCATATGCCAAGGTAATTATTCAGCTCCTCTCTCAGGAGATCCATCTCAGGCACATTAGGGTAACCATCTTCCAGAAACTCCGGCAGCAAAACTTTCCAATGCGAGGGAAAAGAGAGAAAAAAGAAGCTTTGAAAAGCCAATATCTAGTCCAACTACCAAAAGAATTTGTACTTTATCAAGTTTTTAAAAAATATTCAAAGATGAAAACTTAGTATTCTGAGCATTGATACACAATTTAAAATTCATATTCTAATTATAGTTTTATGTGCTATTAGACAAATAATTACACATTAATAGAATTAAAATTGTATGGCTGATGAGTGAGTTTCATTTGGAAGCTTTAACTGTTGATAGAAAGTGTAAACTAAAATTAGATGGAACAGTGTTATAAACTGAATGCTTATGCTTTTAATGTGTTGACATAAATAAACATAATTCAGATTTACTGGCATACAGCAGAGGAAGAAATAAGCAGAGGCTGTGAGTGACCTAAATTAAGTTTTTGATGTTAGAAAAGCACACTTATGCACTTGGACTTTTATTTTCTTGTCTGACCTGCTTCTTCAGGTTTCAGGCCCTCCTTGCCCTCCTTATATGCATCTGTTCCTGTGTCTGCTACATTGTCCTCAGAGCCTTAAGAAAGAAAGCCAAGTTAATGCCTGAATTCTAAAATGATAGTCCTTATGAAAGTTTTGGCACACACACACACACACACACACACAAATTTAAAACTTACTTTAAGTTAGAGGCATGTAAAGATAGTCTCGGTGGGAAAGAATGTTTGCATTGCAAGCATGAGGACCTGAGTTTGAATCCCCAGTACACGTGTACAAACCTGGTCATGGCTGTGTGTGCTTGTAACTCTAGCACAGAGGCGCTGTGACTGAGGGAAATTCCAAGCGCTCATGGGACACCCAACCTAGCCAAAATTTGTGAGCTTCAGGGTCAGCAGCAGACAATGACTCAAGGCAAGAGAAAGAGAATAACAGGAAGATACCTACGGCCCTACTTTGTCTTTGATGAGTGCATGCACAGGTACAGCTGCACGCCCCTCCCCCACAGCCCAGGCGCATTCCACACACCTTCCCAGCCAGCACGTTCATTAGAACAGTCAACACATGGCACATGACATCCTGGTTTGGTAACTGCTAACTATTTTAAAGATCCCTTTGTTGCGGTCTCAGATCTGCAATGCCTGACAGTCCTTTTACTTTACCATTACCGTATCTCGGTATCTCCGAGGATGTCCCAAGGGCACAGAGTGGCGAGGAAGAGCAGTGCAGAAGGCGCTGGAGTGGCAGGGAGGAACTGAAGGGAATCCGGGCAGTTCACTGCCAAAGGCACAGGTTACAAAGCATGTTTCTTACAAGACGGCACCCTCCGCAACCCGGCGCAGCCCCGATGGCTTTAGACAAGGCAGACTACTTCCGCATCTACCCACCACACAGTCTCCAAGTCCGCTTCAGATTCCAAGACACACATTCTGCATAGCTCAGACACATATACACATCCACGCACACACTCATATCATAATACTATCTTCTGAGTGAATACTTGGGTCCTTTTTCAACAGGATCTATGGTGTTTACACTTTATTAGAGGAGAAAGTAGAAAAGGGACTAACCCAGGAGAACCGTGGGTGACGTGTCTAATTACAAATTACCCGGTTAATAAATGCATTATAAATCATGACCAAAAGAAGAGTATGGAGAGAAGTAACTCTAAGCTGGCTTAATCGGAGACTGTATTCACTGAGGGTTCAGGCATGATCTAAAAGGAGCCACCCGAAGTGAGTATTTACAAATGTTACAACTTGAGCTAGGTGTTTGCCCATGAACATATGGAATACATAACATATTCGTGTATAGATACATATATCAGGTCTGTAGCTAAGAACACAAGATGTGAGGAAAAGCAGTTCAAGAGAAGTGTGTGTATAAGGGGTGGCTCTTACACATACCGTGCCCCTTCTTGTTGGTAATTGGCAGGGTTTTCATAAACTCCCAAAGAGATCTTAAAATGAAGGAAAAGAGAGAGTTGATTCAGAGACTCAAAGACTTAACTGCTCCAAATGCTTTCCTGTACAAGTACTTTGTAAGTTTTATAAGACGTATGCTTACAGGAAGGTAGAATAGGAGGTGTGAGGCATAAAGCTAGGCTGGTCTAAAAGAAAGGCAGAAGTACGAGAAAACTAGTTTAAGTAAGAAAACAGTGCAAAGAAGGGCTGTGAATAAAGCTTATTTGGTTTGCACAGCATGCATGGTGTCCAGGGTTCAAGCCCCAGCCCCAGAAAACACACAGCAGAAAGCAGAACAAGAAAATAAAAAACTGAATAGCAGAAATAAGAAACTTTTTTTTATTTTTAAGTAATTTTTTTTTAACAATTTCTTCATGGTATATCCTGATTGTAGCACACTCCCTCAACTCCCCCTATCCCCAAACTTCTTCCTTCTTCCCCCTATCCCCTTTTCCTAGTCCACTGAAATGGGGAGTTCTCCCTTGCCATCTGCCCATAGCTTATCAAGTCTCATCTGGACTGCCTGGATCCTCCTCCCCTGTGGCCTGCTATGGCTGCATCTCCAGGGGTAAATGATCAAAGAGCAGGTAACTGAGTTCATGACAGAGGCAGCCCCTGCTCCCCTTACTCGGGAAACCACATGGAGACTGAGCTGCCTATTGGCTAAACTTTAAGGCGAGAGAGAATAAGAAGCAGTGACTAGAGAGAAAATCTAGTAAGAAGATAATGTGGTTGGGAAACTAGTTCTCTAAAACAAAAACAATGCATGGTCCTGAAAAGGAACCTGGGGTTCCTTTCTGAGCTGGAGAAAGACTGAGGAAGTGGAATTCAGAAGCAAGCACATTGGAGACCAGCCCTGGCCCTCAGCCACCATCTCTATAAACAAGCTCTTTTCCTATGAACAGCATGAAGGGTTTAAATGTCCGCAGATTCAGCTCTCTCAGATTGAAGTATAAGCAGTTAGGTAGAATAAAACAATAAAAATATCATGGTTAGAAAACCAAAAGGAAATCTATCAGAATGTGAATAAAATATGACTGGCCTTTGTAGGCAGACACAAAGTTATTTCTTTCACCTTTTGTGTGTGTGTGTGTGTGAATTCTACATTTCTATGGTTAGCATATATTTGGTCAAAATTGGCTGAATGTCAGAATTCTTTTGTAACACAGTTCAGCATCAATAATATCAGTTATGACCATGGTCTGTGTGTGTGTGTGTGTGTGTGTGTGTGTGTGTGTGTATGTGTGTGTGTGCAGTCATGTCATGCAGCACATGTATGGAAGTCAGAGTACAACCCTGGTGTCAGTCCTCACCTTCTATCTTGTCTGGGGTGTCTCCTCTTCACTGCTGCATGTGTCAGGCTGGCTGTCCCACAACCTCCCAGAGATTTCCCTGTTTCCATCTCCCATAACCCCAAAAAGCCTAGGGTACAGACAATATGCTTCTGACTTCATATGGATCCTCACATGGCGGGTTCCTGAACCTACTGAGCCTTCTCCCAAGCCCTTCAATAGACATTTCCTAAAACTGAGATGGTCCATAGTCCCTTCAGTACATTAATTCATGGCAAACTGTAGAAACAGAATGGAGCTAAGTCATCCTAGAGTTTACATTTTCAGGATCATACTCAATAATGATCCACTTCTGTGATATGAGGGGATAATTTATTTTTAAAAACAATCATTATGACAATCGTTGTTAATTGCTAGCATTTACAAGAATCATCAGGGAGTGTTCACTAATACGTCATGGTAGCTTGAATAGGAATGGACTCCACAGACTTACGTGTTTGAATGCTTGGCCCTTAGGGAGTGGCACTATTAGGATGTGTGACCTTGTTAGAGTAGGTGTGACCTTGTTGGAGGAAGTGTGCCACTGTGGGGGCGGGCTTTGAGGTCTCCTACTTTCAAGCTATGCACAGTGTGGCATCTGATCTCCTTCTGTTGCCTGTGGAATCAAGATGTAGAACTCTCAGCTCCTTCTCCAGCACCGTGTCTGCCTGTATGCCGCCATGTTTCTTGCCATGATGATAAAGAAATAAACCTCTGAAACTGTAAGCCAGCCCCAATTAAATGTTGCCCATTTTAAGTTGCCGTGGTCATGGAGTCTCTTTACAGCAATAGAACACTGACTAAGACATATTCATATTCCTAACCTTTATTTTTAGACTTAGCTATATCAAAGGCCTGGCTGCAGATGGTTTAGAACCTGTTAAAATGAGAACTTTAGGTAACACATAGAGATACACTCTGAAAAGAATGCGATGTAAGGGCGAAGGTGGAGACTGTTGCGAGGCAGCTGCAAGCTAAGGGTTACAGGAGGCACCAAAGCTAGGAAAAAGCAAGGAAGTCTTCTCTAGAGACTTCTAAGGGAACATAGCTCTGCTGACTCCTTGATTTCTGACTGGTAGCCTTTAGAACAGCAAGAGAATAAACAGGATTTAAGATGTCTGTTTAATCTTTGAACTTGTGAAGGTTTGTTGTGTGTTTTAGAAAGCCAGCACACAGCACATTTATTGCAACAAGACTTGAAATTCACATGTGGTGTAGGGTTGGGGAAAATGTGTTATTTTTTTTATCAAATCACTATACAGAACAATAAAGGGTGAAGGAGAAAGATCCAGGAAACAACAGATCAGTAGACCATGTGTCTGGATATTGTCATGATGGTGGTGAGTTCTTTGTGTTGTAAATCCACCAACAGGCCTTCAATTTAAACATTTTTCTTTTTTAAAGATTTATTTAAAGCTGGGTGTGGTGGCGCAGGCCTTTAATACCAGCAAGAAGGAAGGCAGAGGCAGGTGGATCTCTGTGGGTTCAAGGCCAGCCTGGTCTACAAAGAGAGTCTAGGACAGAACAGCCAAGGATACACAGAGAAATGATATCTTGAAAAAAAAAAAAAAAAAAAAAAGAAGAAAACTATACTGAACCTAGTGACTTTATTCATAATAGCCAGAAAATGGAACTAACCTGCATGTCCCCAAGAATGGATAAAGAAAATATGGCACCTTGACACAATAAAGCATAACTAAGGAATTTAAAAAAAATGACATCATGAAATTTGTAGGCAAATCGTGGAATCAGAAAAAAAAAATTCATCTTGAGTGAGGTAACCCAGACTCAGAAAGACAAACATGGTCTGCACTCACTTATAAGTGAGTATTAGCTGAAAAGTCAATGATAGCCATACTATAAGCCACAGATCCAGGGAGGCTAAGTAACAGAAAGGCCTCTAGCGGTTGAGGTACGGATCTCCCTTGGAAAGGCAAATAAAATAGATTTGTGAGTGGACTGGGGGAAGATGGGAATGAGGATAGGGATCAGGTTGCTGGGAAGGGATAATGGGGGAGAGAGTGGGGAGAGACACTAGGATTGGAGGACATTTAGGGGATGATGGAAACCTAGTGCAGTGGAAACTCTCAGCAATCTGTGATGGCGACTCCAGTGAGGAATGCTAGCAATGGAGGAGACAGAGCCTGAACCACCCATCTTTTGTAACTAAGCAAGGCAGTGGTGGGCCTGGGACACCAACCCAGGGCACAAAATCTCTGACCTACATTTTGTCCTGACTGTAAAATGTTCTGGGGTACAGAATGTGGGAGTGGACACCGGATGACTGGTTTAAGTTGAGGCCCGCACCACGATAATGAGCCTGTGCCTAGCACTGCCTGGATGACCAGAAACCAGAGGCTGCATAGCCCAGGCACCTAGGTGGGTCCAAACACAACTTGGGGGGGGGGATCAGTGAAACTACTCCTACGGATACTCAAAGATCAGTGCCTAGTTTGAGAGAGGCTGCCTCTGGCAGCTGATGGGAGCAGATGCAGAGACCCACAGTCAAACGTTAGGTGGAGTTCAGGGAACCCCACCAAAGAGAGTGAGGAAGGATTGAGGATCCAGGGGGGCGGTCAAGGACAGCATGAGGACATGACCCACAGAATCAACAGTGCTCCTGGGGGTTCCCAGAGACTGAAGTGGTAATCATGGAGTCTGCATGGGTCTGCACCAGGTCCTCTGCATACGTGCTGTGGTTGTTGGCTTAGTTTTTGTGGGACTCCTGACAGTGAGAATTCAGCTCTCTCTAACTATTCAGCCTGCTCTTAGGGCCCTTTTCCTCCTGCTGAGTAGCCTGGCTCAGCTTTGATGTGAGGATTTGTTCCTGGTCTTATTGTTTCTTCTTGTGCTGGCGTTCAGTTGATGTCCCTGGGAGGTCTTCTCCTTTCTGGGAGGAGACAGGGCTGGGGGAGGGGATCTGGGGGAAGGGAAAGGTATGTGTGTGGGAGGGTACTGGGAAGAGTGGAGAGAGTGGAAGCCAGGGCCTGGATGTGTTGTATGAGAGAAATGTAAACAAAAAATTTTAAAGTTATACGCGTTAGTATTTTGCCTACATATCTGTATATGAACCACATCCATGCAGTGTTAGTGGCGGCTAAAAGTTGAATCCCATGGAATCGGAGTTGTGGACAGTTGGGGCTGTTGTGTGGGTGCTGGGACCCAAACCCCGGACCTCTGCCAGAGCAGTGAGCTCTCTTAACTGGTGGGCCATCTCTCAGGCCCCAGGACTTTCAATTTAAACCTATTAAAAGTCTGAAAACCCATTAGAAAAACCCTAGGATGAAAATAAAATTAAGCCATGTTGTGAAGAAGGTCTCAGAGTTTCCCACCAGCCCAGTGTCCCCTGTGGTGGTGAAAGGGGTTAGCTTTAAAGGGCAAAAGACTGCAGGGGAAAGTGGGAGGGACTGGAGAAAATGAAGATTCTCTCTCTCCCCACCCTCCTCAGTTTGGTGAGGGCTTTGAGTTAAATAGAAAGACAACTCTCACTCTAGAGAGTAATTTAGTCCTCAAGAGTATCTCAAGTCTGCTATGGCTCTGTAGTGCACCAGCAAAAAAAAAATGTGTTAATATACAATAGATAAAAAAAATAATCCAAAATTATGATAAAAATTATTGAAAACCCTACTCTCACCCATTCCTATTCTAAAGCTAACCCGTCCTGATTGCTAAAAATTCTTAACTGAAACTGAATCTTCACCCAAAAACAAACAAGCAAAAACAATTTGAGGTTTATGGCACATACTTAAAGTTAAAATATACATTGGTAAGTGTTCCCTTGGTCAAGGTATCTCCTCAGAACACTGGAACAATGACTATTCTAAGACACTGTTACACTGGTATAAATGCAGGCAGAAAGACAGCACACCTGACCAAAGCAGCCAGATGCCTAACAGCTGGATAGAAAGACTATATATGCATATATGTATATTATAATTTTTATATATATAATGAATAATAGGACATAGAGGTGTCTGAAGCAAAGCGGAGTGACAGAACGCATTTAGCTGGGTAGACGTCAATTCAAAGAGCAAAGTGGATATCAGAACATCCCCGGAAGGAGCCAAACCCTCTGCGAGACTTGTTACTGATGAGGACTACAATGACTGTAGAAAACTTTGGATGGCCAGAGCCAAATTACCTGGGCCAATCTTTAGCCAGCAGAAAGTTTGGTTCTTCCCAGGACTTTTGTTCATAGGCCAAACTCCACAAGCCAGAGCGTGTGAATGTACATGTGTGTGCACACAGACACATAATAAATAAAGGCATGTATGAGTATTCAAAGAAACATAATAATTCACTGAGGAACCTCAACATAATCTTCTTGACTATGACACTTTTATGTTAGCTGACCAGTCGTGCTAAAGATGATAATTATTTTAAAGATTAAAGATTTGATTATTACACATCGTACAATACAATAAATTATCATCGTGTTCCCCCAAATATGATCCCTCTACACAGTCCTGGCTGTCCTGAAACTCAGTATGTAGACCAGGCTAGTCTGAAATCTACAGAGATCTGCCTGCCTCTGCCTCTCCAGTTCTGGGATCAAAGGCATGTGGCCCCAGGGCCAGCTAGACATTTTTATAAAGAAGTGAAATAAAAAAAAAAAAAAAAAACTGTGTGTGTATGAGTGCGAAGTGAGAAAGGCTGGTTCTGGTGACTGGGCATGGGCATGAGATGCTCTCGTGTTTGCATGTAAAATGGGATTACGTGACATAAAGATACATTCTTGCTTTTGGGATAAAATGTCCTACAGACCATGTGCCAGTCCCAGGACTGAGGAGTCTCTAGGGCCTCACCTTTGCATCCCTAGCCAGCTTCCATCACACACACACACACACACACACACACACACACACACACACACACCACCATCAGTTGAGTTTAACCTGCTTCAGGCTCATTCTCTGCTTCAGATGTTTCAGACCCTCTGGTGTAGTCATGCACTTCGGAAGCCTCAGACTCTTCACGGCCTTCAAAATCCTCAGCATCCTCCTCCTCACCTTCATTATCGGGGTCGTCAACATCTATGAAGGATTTCAGGGAATTGATTATTATTCAGCTAAAGCCAACAAATGACCATTGGGTAGTGTTAAGCATAGAGAAGAAAATCAAGAATAAGAATGATACTCTCCCAATATGTGGCTTAATGGTGGAAACAGACAAATTACTATTGTATTATATCTATTAATAGGGGGTGGTAGAGAATGACTGTCATTCTATCAGAGTGCTACTGGAGAACCCGAGAATGAACTCATTCAAAAGAAGTAATGTTTATAGCGGTTCCAAATACACTAACAGTAAGAGACTAGAAATAGCCCAACGTCCATTCAATAAGGAAATGGTTAGGTCCATACCATCTACTACAGCAGCCACTAGCTGTGGCTACAGAGCACTTGAAGTGAGTCTAAGCCAAAATATGTCTGAGTATAAAATACATAATGAATTTCAAAGCTTTAGAATGAAAAAGTTAACATAAATATGAAGACAATTTAATATTACTCATGCAGCTTACACTGAGTTTCTATTGGGCAGCACCAGACTAGACTCCATATATATATGTGTGTGTGTGTGTGTGTGTAATAATATTATTACATATATAATATATATGTATATGTAATGTAAATATATATGTATATGTAAATATATGTAATAATAGATCTACTACAGCTCATTGTAATAATAACAAAGTATATTCATTTATGTCTTGATTACACATTAGAAAGTATAATTGCAAACTTTATGTGGCTATTGATAGCTATGGTGTATAGTATGTAGAAGTTCTTTGGCAGGTGATGGCAGGGGTGTCAGAGAACTCATTTCCTAATTTCTTTCAAATACTTATGAAAATGACACAATTGTTTGAGTTCTCATGGACATTTCTTTCCCCACTGATTTCTTCCCAGAATCACGCTCTGATAGCAATTCTCTGGGACCTGGATTTGTTCTAAAACCAAGGTTTGAGGCAGGACAGTAGCACAGGAGGCTTCCAAAAACACAACTTGGAATGTGGTGGGTATCTTTGTGTTAGGCTGAAGGTTTTATGAAATCCACACAAGCACGAGGCAGGTTTCACAGACTCATACTACAGCTTGTGGGGAAATGATGGAGTCTATAAAGGAAGTTGAATTTTCTTTCAGTAATATGATTACTTATTAAAAATGTTCATATACATCCAATTTATGTATACTCCTTTATTTTATATTTATACATATTAGGTACATTATAAAATATGTATAACGTTATATAAATGTTATATGCCCAACTCTTATGAGATCAGGGAGAAGACAGAGGTGACTTAAGAGGGCAGCTCAAAGAAAGATGTAGAGAGTGGAGGCAGCTTTACTGGGACAGTTGTACAGAGACAGGTTGCAGAGAGAGAACAAGCTAGACACAGAAAGACAGGATGAGCCAAACAATGAGACAGAGCCAGACGATTAGAAGAGATTGCTAGAGTTTGTTTGAGCCACAACCGCTGAGTTGAACCAGCCAGCCAGAGTTCAGAAAGAGCTAGAAAGGGTGAGCTTTATTCAGCAGTAAGTCTCAGAGGCTGAAAACGTTCTAGGCCTAGGTTAGATTTAACAGAGGCTAGAAGCTTCCAGGGCTAGGCCTATGTTAGGAGATGGAGGCTGTAAGCCTTAGAGATGATAATTACATCAGGCAGCTAAAAGTTGCTTTTACGTGTCTTCTGTTAAGAATGTCCCTTTTCTAATTAGGAATCTTTATCCTATGGATCCATTGTCCCAGTGGAAGTCTAACTTATGAAAATTGTAACACTTTGGGGAGGAAAGGGTGCCTTCAGGACAGGGGCATACACCTGCTCCCTGGACAAACGGGGAGATGTCTTTATAACCTACTTGAAAGCAGCAGTGACAAAGCAAGACTAAGGGGCATTCTCCTAGAGCTGTTAATTTCTGTGCCTGCCTTTTGCTTTCTTGGCCTTGGCTCCCATCGTGCGTTCTTCGTGTTCTTCTTCTAGTCTTAGTTCCTCATCTTTGGATTTTCTGAAATGAAAAGGTTCAAAATTCAGTTCCAAAAAAAAAAAAAAAATTTCAGACAGCTCTTCTTCATAGGATTAAATGCTCACAGTGGCAAGCATCAAAGACTCCCATTGTCAACCATCCTGTGCTTTTTATTTCACGGTGTGCAATTTTATCCCACTCAGGTTTGAAGCCAGTTGGTTTTCAGTCGATACTGTGGTATTTTTGGTGAGGAGATAGTGAATGTTATATATTTTAAATTATGGCTTTCAGTTAGGAAACTGGCTAATGCGAGTGAAAGGGTCCCTGAGGTAAGTTGGGGGGAAGGGGGAGGATCCATAACATTTGCTTCAGACTCAATGTGTAATATTTATAGCATAATGTTAAGTTAAAAAAGTAGAGAAGGAAGCTATAAGTACAATATAATTTTAACTTTGTATCAGTATCTATGAGAACCAGAAGGCTAGAAAAATTATGGATGGTAAAAATTTCTGGATGGTAGCCTTGTGAGAGTTCAATTGAAAACATTTACACTCGTTTTTTCTCCAATGAATAGGAAATACAGTATTTCTTTTTAGTCAGAAAAAAACTGGAGCCTAGAGAAATGGCTCAGGGGTTAAGAATGCTTGCTGTTCTTACAGACTTGGGTGTTATCTCAAGCACCAACATGCACCTTACGATCATCTGTAACTCCGGCTCCAAGGCACCCAAAGCCTTCTTCTAGACTCCAAGGCTGCCGGCACCCACATGTGCGCATATCACCCTCCACATATGTACAAAATTTAAAATGTTAAGTTTATAACTGAAAAACAAAGTTTTAACACACAACTGATGAATCTTTTACCACCCAGGTTCATACTAGGTAGGCACTGTAACCACCCAACTATACCTCCCGTCCCCGTGACGACGAGATTTAGAGTCTTCGAGGATGGAAGCTTCAGGAATAGAGAGAATTTGTATCCCATTAAGGTTGACGCGTTCAATCTTTTCTAAGAATAGTGAAAATAAGTAGAAAAAAACTAGTAAAATGTGTGAAGAAAGTTCTTGTCTACTAAATATTAAAGAGATATGTATGTTGGCTAGAAATCCTATGCCTGGGTATTTACAAACAGGTACACCACTGCACAAAGAAACATATGAAAGGTTGATAGCACCATCAAAGCAACAACACTGTGAGTTTTCACCAACAGGAAACCAGGAACGGAGGGCTCAGTGCCAGCAGCAGCTCCTGGAGCCATAGCACGCCAAAGAACCATGAGGTTCTTTGCATCTGTAGTTCCTTCTTTGGAAGAAACTATTGCTGTATTTCTGGTTACCATTCTGTGTAACCTGTGTTCCACCCAGGAGTCTTGGCGTTACTGGGATTCTTCTTGTTCATGGCCCAGACCACACAGACTTCTGAGTCTTCTTGCCCAATCTCTTTTCCATTCAGTTTTGACATCTGTATTAGGTGGCTTCAGACAAGGCTGTTGGGAGATTATTTTCTAAAACCTAGAGTAGGCTGCTGGGAATACTCAATAGCCTGACCAGGCTGAGAAAGAGCCTATAAAGCATTTGAAATAATTATGGAATATTATCTTGCCGTTTAGCTATATTGTGCGCAAACAAGTGATGGAAAATTGTAGAATTTAACATGTTTTAAGATGTTCAACCTATGACACAAATCTTAACCCTGCTATGCTTTTCTTCATTTAAATCAACCTGAAAAGTCTTTTAATGTGTCTCTGAGGCATTTTTTTTCTTGCTGACTCAGGTTTTATTTTCAGTAGTATATAGGAAAAGTTTTCTGTGAAATACTCATTGTTGAGTTTTAAAATTCAGCATATGGAAACCTCGAGAAGGACATATTAGTTTAAACATTAATAAGCTTATGCATATGTAAAAACTTCAAATCAGATAGTAAAAACAGAGAGGAAAGAAGAAAGCCCACGTGAAGTGAGAGTTTCTGGTTTCTTTGAAGACTCAGTTTTGTCATGTGATATTCTGCTGCAATATGTTTTGCTAGAGGCTGGCTTTTGAGAGGGCATGTGATGTTTTGCTGTGAGCTCTCACATGCGAGGAGTGTGACTTTGGTCAGCTGAGAACATCTGTGGATGGACTCTGAGGAGAGGAGATGTACAGAGGCTCACTCACAGGAGATATTTCGGATTGACATCACTCTGCTGATCTTCATTTTTCAACACTTGACTTCTCAGTGAGAAACATTCCAGAAAACTTTTCGGGGCAATCCAACTGAGTCTTGCAGCTTTTGATGACTTCCTGTTGCTGCTTTGTGTTGGCCTTTGGACTAGACTGCTGGTATCCTGATGACTGAGTTTGGTAATCCCCAAAAGACCCATCGACCCTAATCATCAGGAGGTAGATAAAAGATGTCTAACAGCCCTTTTCCCAAATAATCTCCTACCTAAGGTTGCCTTGGGGGAGGGGAGGGAGGATGCGAGGGGAGGTAAAGGTGCTTAAGAATCCTAATCACCAATGTTACAGAAAGCAGCGAACCAGGGAGCATCAGACAAAAAACGTTACAGAGAACAGTAGACATCTGACAGAAAGCCACAGAGGAGAAATGCACCTGGGATCATCTCCAAAGGAAGCATTAGTTCTTCAAGGTTGGCTGAATGTCTAGAGAGACTTAGGAGTCTCCATAGCCATGGGAGCCTCAAACCCATAGCAAGTTTCATCTCCAGGGAAAGCATCAGTTCTTCGAGTTTGGCTGAACACCTGGAGAGACTCGGGAGACTCGAAGCTGCCAAAGCCTCAAGCCCAGAACAAGGAAAGGCGCAGGAGCCTATGAGACAGCAAATCTCAGTAAGCCACCCCAAAAAGACAATTTTAATTATATAGACAGACTCTTCCTGCATTAAAAACAGGGAAACTCCATTTCAGATGCCTTAAGACCAAAAGTAGGAGTTGAGTTGTTGAGAGGGTAGAAACGTTACTTGAAAAGGCCATTTCAGTACTTACTGCAACTGAGGACCACTGGGGTAAACACCACCCTACTTTCAATTACAATTCCTCTCAAAAAAAGATTGGGACAAAGAAGTAAGAGACAAAGGAAATAAGAAGACAAGAAGTGCCTAATTATGAACCTATGCTACCTAATGAAATTAAGGATCAAAACAGACAGACCAGCTCTTAATGAAATTGAGAAAAGGTGACGACCCCCACTGGCTTTCCCACTTACCCGGGAACAAATGCCAGAAAATGGTGTAAATTCACAGAATGAATAAATAACCTGGGATGCTGTTAAAATACAAGATCTTGAACAGTTTAAAGAATCAGTAGTATCTTATGTAATACATTCACCCTATGTGAGACAGCTGTTTACTGACTGGGCTACCCAAGGCAGGATTATCCCCCAAGAATGAAAAGATTTAGCAGCAGCTATACTGGAAGCTGGTTCTCAAGTACAATGGCTGACATTGTGGTGAGAAGAAGCTGCAATTATGGAAAAATGTACCAGGTCTAAAGGTGTTAATATAGTGAAAGATCATCTGTTAAGTGAAGGTCAATTTGCTGATGTAAGACAGTAAATGCAATTTGATGACTCTATTATTATACAGTGTACTTTAGTAGCCTGGGATAAGTTGGAGGAACAAGGATAAAGGTCTATGTCATTCACAAATATTATGAAAATCCTTAGACTTTTACTGATATCTTACATAGATTAACATCTGCTATAAACAAGGCAATATCAGATACAGATGTGAGATGTATATTAATTGAAACTTTAGCTTTGAAAAGTGCAAATGCAGAGTGTAAAAAAGTTCTTAGATCTTTAAAACTTGAATAGCATATATGGATGAATGGATTAGAACTACTGCTGATATTGACCCTAATGACCTAATTGGACAAGCAATGGCTAATAATCCCAGATATCAAAATGTCTGTTTTTTTTTAAATTAAATTTTTATTTTTTTACATTAATTACATTTTATTCACTTTGCATCCCAGCTGTAGCCCCCCTCTCTCATTCCCTCCCAAGCTCACCCTCCCTCTTTTACCTCCTCCCATGCCCCTCTCCAAGTCCACCAATAGGGAAGGTCCACCTCCCTTCCCTTCCACCCTAGCTTATTAGGTCTCATCAGGACTGGCTGCAGTGTTCTCCTTTGTGTCTGGCAAGGCTGCTTCTCCCTCGGGGGGGTGTCAAAAAGCCAGCCACTGAGTTCATGTCAGAGATAGTCCCTCTTCCCCTTACTAGGGAACCCCCTTGGACACTGAGCTGTCATGGGCTATATCTGAGCAGGGGTTCTAGGTTATATCCATGAATATACCTTGGTTGGAGTATCAGTCTCAGAAAATACCCCTGAGCCCAGATATTTTGGTTCTACTGCTCTCCTTGTGAAGCTCTTGTCCTCTCCAGGTCTTGCTAACTACCTCTTCTTTCTTATGGTTCCCTGCACTCTGCCTAAAGTTTGATTATGAGTCTCAGCATCTGCTTTGATATCACTTTGGAAATCAATCTGGGGCTTTCTCATACAATTAGGAATAATGCTTCCTCGAGATCCACCTATACAACTCCTAGGTATATATCCAAAATATGCTCAAGTACACAACAAGGACATTTGTTCAACCATGTTCGTAGCACCTTTATTTGTAATAGCCAGAACCTGGAAACAACCCAGATGTCCATCAACGGAGAAATGGATACAGAAATTGTGGTACATTTACATAATGCAATACTACTCAGCAATTAAAAACAAGGAAATTGTGAAATTTGCAGGCAAATGGTGGGATCTAGAAAAGATCATCCTGTGTGAGGTATCCCAGAAGCAGAAAGGGTATATACTCACTTATAAGTGGATATTAGACCTATAAGATAGGATAAACATACTAAGATCTGTACACCTAAAGAAGCTAAACAAGAAGGAGGACCCATGGTAAGAGGAACAATCTCCACTTAGAAAGACAAAGGGGAAGGACACTGGAAGAAGGAGAAAACAAGAAACTGGACAGAAGCCTATCACTGAGGGCCTGTGAAAGACTCTACCTAGCAATATCTGTTGTTTTAACTGTGGAAAATGAGGTCATTTGAAAAGGCATTGTAGGCAAGGCATTCCTAGAGTCTTCTCTAGAGGACCTCAGCTTTCTGAGATTTGGGTAGAAGGTATGGTAAAAGTAGGCACTTGACTAATGAATGCAGATCAGCAAGAGATATGCAAGATAATCCCTTACCAATGAGAAACTCCCTATGAGATAATCCTTTAAATATGGGAAACTCCCTAAGAGGGTTAGCTTGTACTCCAGCAACAGACAACATGAGCCATACCTACCTTAGAGAAAACTAAGGTAGGTATTGGAGATATAATGGATGCTACAGAAGGCAACACTACTTTGGACTTAACCACAAGTAGCACGTCAATCAAGGGCAGAGCAGCTCTACTTGATAGAACAAGAAATGCTGGATGTACCGAGAAACAAACAGCTCTACCTTTAAAATGGTTAACTGACAAACCTGTGTATGTAGAGCAATGATCCTTCAAGAAAAATTACAGGCACTTAAGCAGCTGGTATAACAATATCTGGAAGGTCAACATAGTGAATATTCTGCAAGTCCTTGGAATTCTCCTATATTTGTAATTAAAAAAGAAATCTGGAAATTGGAGGATGCTGATTGGCCTAAAGGTTATATATAAAGTGATCCAATCTTTGGGTCCATTACAGACTGGAACCCTTTACCAAAAGGATGGCCTATAATAATCAATTTAAAAGACAGCTTCTTTACTATTTCTTTGCAAGAGCAAGACAGAGAAAAATTTGCTTTTATAGTACCCACTCATAACAGCTCAACCTGTGAAAAGATGCCAAAGGAAAGTTCTTCTTCAAGGAATGTTAAATAGTCCAACTGTATGTCAATATTGTGTACAACAGCTGCTAAAAGTAATTTGTAAACAATTTCTTCAATTCCATAATTTACCATTGTATGGATGATATCTTGTTGGCTGATTCTGATGCAAACACATTAGAAAGAATGTTTAATGAAGAGAAAAAGAAAAAAAGATTTTACCTATTTGGAGTTTACAGATTGTTCCTGAAAACACACAGAGAGGGGATTCTATCAACTATGTAGGATTTAAATTAAGTCAACAAAAGATTCAACCACAAAAGGTCCAGATCAGAAGAGATCAGTTACAAACTTATAATGACCTTCAAAAACTATTAGGAGGTATTAACTAGTTACAGCCTATTGTAATTGGATTAATTACTCAAGAGTTGAGTAATTTGTCTGAAACTTTTCAAGATGATTCAGACTTACAGAGTCCTAGATAATTAACAGCTGAAGCAGAGAAAGAGTTGACTCAGGCAAAGCCAAAATTGCAGGGTGAACATACAGATCACCTATATCTCAAACTTCACTGTATGCTGGTCATTTTGCCTTCCACACATTCCCTTACTGGACTCATCATTATGCAAAAAGAAGACAATGTTTTAGAATGGATCTTCTTAGCACATATACAGAGGAAAAAACTAAAAACTTATGTTGAAAAGTTTTTTGATCTAATTGTAAAAGGAAGAATAAGACTCTCAATTATCAGAAAAAGACCCATCAGAAATCATAGTGCCTTATACGACTGCTGAAGTTATCTCATTATGGGGTATTAATGAAGACTGGCAAAAAGCTTGTAGCAATTATTTGGAAGAAATTAGCAATAAATATCACCAAAGTTCATAAAAAGAAGCAATTGAATTCTTCCCCATGTAATAAAAGGTTCACCAATTTCTGAAGCTACTACACTTTATACTAATGCAAATAAAACAGGAATGGCAGGTTGTAAGTCAGAAAATATAGGTAAAGTAATTATTTAAAGGCGCATATGCTTTGGTACAAAAATCAGAGATATATGAAATTCTTACAATTTTATTAAATTTTCTGAACCTATCAATATAATTACTGATTCACAATATGCAGAGAGGGTTGTATTACATATAGAAACTGATGAACTTATTCCTGATAATTTAGAATTAACATCATTATTTATACAACAGTAACAGACAATTCAAAAGAGAAACAATTTATTATATATCACCCACATTCAGTTTCATAAGGAATTTCCTGGTCCTTTGCCATGAGGGAATAAAGAGATTGACCGATTGTCAATAGTAAATATGGTGGAAGCCTCAGAATTTCATTTAAAAATACCATGTTAGCAGTAAAGGTTTAAAGAGAATTTTTTTTTCTATTACTTGGCAAGAAGCAAAAGAAATAAAAGAAATGTTTTACTTGTTCTTTGTATATGAGTTCCATTACCTGTTAGATGTAACCCTAAGGGAACCAAAAGAAATGAAGTTTGGCAGATGGATGTGTTCAACTTTTCAGAATTTGAAAAACCAAATTTTGTTCGTCATACCATTGATACACACTCAGGATTTCAATGGGCTTCTGCTTTGAGTTCTGAAAAGGCTGATTCTGTAATTCCACATTTGCTGGAAGTGATGGGTGTCACTGTTAAGACTGACAATGCCAACACATATGTTTTCATTAAAATGAAATGGTTTTTTGCATATTATAACATAAAACACATTACAGGTATAGCATACAATCCAACAGGTCAAGCAGTTATAGAGATATCTAATTGTATCTTAAAGGAGATGCTTAACAACAGAAAGGTGAAATTAAAAACTCTCAGAAACAAACTGAATAATACTTTATTAACTTTAAGTTGTTTGAATGCCAATGAGGCAGGAACAACAGCTGCTGAAAAACACTGGACTATAGAAAAAAATAATAAAACTATTGACTTAGATCAACCTGTATACTTTAATGATATATTAACATCAGAATGGAAGTCAGAGAATGAGGTTTTGCCTGTTTATTATTTTTTTTTTACGGTGATGGAAGACTGTGGGTTCCATCAAAATTGATAAAGAGTCTATCTGTATAAGAGAAACTTCCATGTGAAAGGCTCAGGAAGGAAGAGGCTCAGAAAGACACCAATGCAAATGATGCAGAAAGCTGATTCCCCACACAGGGACTGGCAGATTGGAAAACCTTGATGCTGAAATGGACATCTGCTGAAAGACAGGTCATCAGGACTGCAGTTATGAAGGATCACTGAATCAACGGATCTTCAGAAGGACATTTGGACTGTTGGGTTTGTGGGACTGATAAATTGTTTCTGTTGCAAAAAATTTAACTGTGTACAACTTTTAGCATCATGTGTTCTATACCAGTGGTCCTTCTCCAAGCCCCTCCCCCATTCACTCCTCCCCCCCCCCCCCCCCCCCCCCCCCCCGCCCCCCCTCCCCCCCCCCCCCCCCCCCCCCACCCCCCCGCTGAGCCTGGAACTCTCAGGCATCCATGAGCTCTGCCTTCTGATCGTTGGGATTAAGGGCATGTGCCACCACTGCCCAGCTCAAATTCAGTTTTTTTGAAGAGCATATTTCAGCAAGAAGAACAATAGTTAGGTCCCTGTTTCCCTTTTCTAGTTTGTTCCTCAGCCTGAATAACTTCGCAGTTTGTTGAAGGTTAATCTTGAGCCTTAGCTGTGATGGTTTGTTCACAGTTTTAAAAGCACTTTGTTATACCTACAGCAGAGAACGAACCGTCCATGCCAAACTTGTGAGATATAACCAGTTCTTTCCTTCTGTGGAGGCAAGGCAGATTTTCCTTTTAGTCGCACCATGTGTTGTATTTTTATTTATGTTGTGTTGTGTTATCATCTTTAGTTATTAAAGTTAAACCACAGATAGGTTTGCTGTGTGTGTGCATTTTGTGTATATGTGCACGTGTGTGTGTGTGTGAAATCTATGCTTGTTTTTCTCAGTTTGCTAATGAAGACTACTTGATATGAGCCATGAAACTATTTGCAGCTGAGTAGAGATTCATGAACTTACCATTTCTTTTGGAACTCAGTGGGATTTTGCTCAGTTAATAGACAATCTTTCTGACATTAGAGACATTTTGTAAGCGTAGCCTATGAGATGGTATGAAAATTACAGGTATATACTGGGGGCTGGGGAGACGGCTCAGTGGCTAAGAGTGCTTGCTGCTCCTGCAAAGGACCTGAGTTTGGGTCCCAGCACCCGTGTTGGGAACTTCAGCTCCAGGGGATCCAGTGCCCTCTTCTGCCTTCAGTGAGCACCCATACACAAATGACACACACATTCTCTGAAAGCAGGAGCACGGTCAATGCGCAGCCCATTTTGTGGCTCTCGCAAGGCTTACCGTCTTTCCTCCTCTTCCAGGTTTTTCATTTTAAGTTCCTGTAGCAATCTTTCTAAAATCTTAGCGTCGATTTCCTTCTTATTATTTAAGTACATTCTGTTTAATAAACATTTCCCTGAAATACAGATACAAAGAAAAAAAAATTACTTTGAAGTTGCACAGAGTATGACCTATTTTGGATATTAACTACAAAACAACCACTGACTATGCAAACACACACGTTTCTCTTTTAGTGCTTATCCAAATAGCCTAGAATGTTTGAAATTTTGGTAAAATGTCTTAAATCTTTTTTAAAGAGACATATTAATATATAATAAATAATAAAAACATGAAAAAACATATTCCAGGTTCTCCCTGGAACCTCTCATTTCAAATGTTTTTAAAAGATTTTTTTACATTTTTTATTCATTTGTGTGTGTGTGTGTGTGTGTGTACACATATGTACACTTCTGTGTGTGTGGCAATCAGAGGACAACTTGTAAGAGCTGATTCTTTCCTACTAAATGGGTCACAAACATTGAACTTGGTTTTCAGGTGTGGCTGTACAAACCTTCACTCCACCACCTCTCAAACATGTTTCTTTTCTGAAGAGGTGAAGCGATGGAATATTTAGATTTAGCATCAGCCTTGCCCTCAGCATTGGGATTGTACAAAGACCTCATTTACAAGTTAGAGCTACCGACTGAGAAGGAATGCAGAATTTTCAGCCCCAAAGAACAGCTCCTGAGGTCTGCTGGAAGGTTCAGTGGTGGAGCACGTTAGCCAGGTCACCTCCTCCGTGGGCAGAAGCCTCGCTTGGTGCATCTTTAGGTCCTATAGGCATAGCTAGCATGGTAGCAGGAGTGGTCACTGTATCTAAAGGGAGTTTTCCATTCCCTTTTTAACAAAACTAAATGTCAGCAGTCAGCATTTTATTTTATATTTAAATAATAGTTATTGACCAACCAGGGCCGTCTCCCTCTGATAAAAAGATAACCAAATCAGGACCAATTCCTTTTTCAATGATGGCCAGCCACAGATCTCGATTAAGTGGGCAGTTATCCAAGATCCATCCTCCAAATTTTGGGGCTCCAGGAAACCTATTCTTGTTATCTTTCGTCACCTGTGGAAACACACATTGACAGCACTGTGGTGAACTGGCAAGTCATGGATTTATGACGGTCTCTTGCAGAGCTCCAACAAATACCTCCTGAGTCTCTTGTGCCCGATTTGTGAGACCCCCCAAAAGACCACCAGGAATCAAGTCCATCGCAAAACACACGAGGATCTTTCTTCACAGCTCGAGCTGGACTCCTACAGACACCAAGGCATTGGTACAGCCTTGAGCGCCGGACTGAGGGTGATTTGTAGGTCCTAGTTCCTCCCAGTGCACCCAAGCAGGGGGATTCCAGCCTGGAAAGCTTCTCTTGGTTAAAATATAAAACAGAAGACTATATTTCATAAACAATTCTGGTTTTCTCTTGGGGGAGAAACGGCCGGCCTTGGGGCTGGCCTTGGGTTTCAGTTGGAACGTCCTGTCCTGGACTGATAGGCTGTTGCTAAGGAAGAGGGGCACTTATCTCCGTCAGTACTATTTCCAAGGGCAAGGCCACCCGGGCTGGTGTCCTGGTGACCTCTAATGAGTGGACAGGAATGCCTCAATGTCAGCTCTTCCCTGTATCTCACTAGGTCTGCCCAGAAGCAGCAAGGTCAACTGGCCTGATAAGTTTTAAACTTTTTAACTCAGTAACCCAGGAAACCTAATTTTTTAATTCTCTGGCCTCTCAAGTCCTGACTTGGAGAAGAAAATAAGAGTGACTTAATTTTAAGAGAAACTTAGCTCTGAAGTAATAAAAAACAAGTTTTACTAGTTTAAAAACAGGAATAAAAGCCTTTATTGCGCACAACAGCTCACTTTTGCTATCAACCTGTGGCACTGAATTCCTCTGGACTCGGAAGTCCTGCAGTGGGTTCAAGTCTGCATCTCTAATCTGCTTGTGTGGACTGTTGTTTGAGCAGTAAGCTCCCAGCCCTGATGGATGTTTGGATGCCAGTCTCTTTCTCTCTGCCCTTTGCTTTTACTCTTCAGTGTGATTTTTATTCTCTGCAACAAAGTAACAAGACCATTTTCACCACAGGCAAGAGTCAGGCGTAGAGACCCTTTTTTTATTTTTATTTTTTATTTTGACCAGGCTGGCCTCCAACTCACAGAGATCCACCTGCCTTTGTCTCCCTGAGTGCTGGGATTACAGGAGTGTGCCATAGCACCCGGCTAGTTTATAGACTCTTGTCCTCACTTGGCATTTGCTTCTCTGGGTGTTTGGTCTCACTGACACGGTGAAGATGACAGCTATGAGGTTCATGAGTGAATTCCTGCACCTTGTGGGTATCTATTTGCCACATAATGACTCAGTGAGTGGCTTACAGGCCGGTTCAGTTTAGAAGGTCCTTAAAGGCAAGGGCCATGTTTAATCTATTTTCCTAACCTTAGTATCTAATACAGTACAGAGAACAGCAGGTGCAGACTTCTTCTGCCAACAGCAGGCACGCACTTATGAAGGAACACTATTACTAGGACAACCTAAAGAGATTGGTTAAAGGGTGTGGATGAGCTCAGAAGTGGGTATGGGCCCAAAGAGTCTGGGACAGTCAGGACTCAAGGGAGACACCCAGTGATTTATAAAGTGTCTCTGCTTTCTCGTGCGATAAGCTTTTTATTCTTAACGCGTTATTTTTTTGTGAGGCAGGGCCTTTTGTGCCGGGAGCCAAAGCTATCTACGGAAGCCAAAGCCAAAGCTATCTAGTGAAGACAAAGGTATCTACGGAAGCCAAAGTCAATTAAGTGAGTCAAGGCTATCTACGGAAGCCAAAGTCAAAGCTATTTAGTGGAGACAAAGATAGTTACTGAAGCCAAAGCCAAGTAGTGAGCAAAGGTCATTTAGTGGAGACCTAAAGCTATTTAGTTGAAGAATTACCTAGGACCCGAAATCATGGGTAATAGATTGTGAGAACATCCGTCTGTTAGTTTTAGAGCATCCGTGAGATAGCTTAAGAAAACATCCTTACGGCATCTTGCAGGTGCAATATTTAACCCATGAAAGTACTCTTCCTATTTCCTGCAGCAGTAGATTAACCTTCCCCCTTTCCTGCCTTCTCCCTATATAAGTTGGGTAAAAATTTTTAATAAACGGAAGCCTTGATCAGACAAACAGACTTGGCTTTCATTTCTACATCTCTTGTCCCTACCCCCCCATTCCTTCCACTCTCCTCCCTTAGGAACCCACGTTGAAGCCCCGCTGGTCGGGGCACTTTTGCTTATCCTAGGCTGACCTGCCTATGTAAATCAGGCTGGCCTTGAACTTGTTTCTGACACTCCTGCTTCAAGTCTTCTGAAGGCTGGGATTACAGGGATAAACCCCCATGCCCACAGTTTCTCACGTAATCATTTAAAATCTCACCACACAGAAAGAAATAGAAAAGCTCACTCAGGGTCCAAAACTGTCTCATTGACCTTGCAGCTTGCTCTGAATGCTTTTCTTAGATCACTGCATAGATGATTGATGATACCTCATCCTTTACAAACAAGAGAAAGGTAATGGTTTGGGCATGGCATTGGTATGGGCACGGCATTTGAGGCTTTGTGTTTCTACCCTCCCTATCAACACATGCTCAGAGTGGTTGGACAAAGTTAGATAGCCATGCAGCAAAGCGGATCTCAGTACCTGAATGCTTAGCTGAAAGATGAAATATCCAGCTGTGGCACTGGCTTTATAGACCCTACCTTCCTATGAACTGGATCGAATCAAGGACAACCTAAGCTAAGGAACTCATTTGAGAACTATAAAATCATGTCACGTGATTTTGTTGATACTTGCAAATCTTCTAACAAGTACCAGCTGCTGGCCCGTATCCCGTGATCCAGAGGGTGGCCCAAATCCATGCACATGAGGGCAGCAGTAACTAGCCATTTTTTTTTTTTCAAAGACATGAAGTTGGGAGAGGGTATGTTTGTGGGGGGAGGGGGAGCTGGGGGACAGAGACAATCCTGTTTCACTGTAGTCATATATAAAATTCTCAAAAATAAAGAAATATAAGAAATCAAGCCAACAGAAAAGGTATATAAATTTGAAGACCACAGTAAAATAAGACTTTAAGACAATTGGGCACACTCCAGATTTACATTCTCTTACTTTCTAAGTCAATGATAAACATCAGTTGGCTGAAAAAATTGTACCTCTTTGATGACATCCTCTAGAATTTCAGCCTGTTTGTCATACGGCTGCTCGAAGTTCAATTCCTTGGCCTGTTTCAGGGTGTCCTCTAGCAAGAGCAGCACGTCTGGGTGGTTTCCAGTCACCTCTTCTATCAACTCTTCTGTGGAGACTAAAGACAAACGACTTAAGCTAAATTCCATTCCTGGGCTGGGGCATGATATCATCTTTGATAAGGTGTGCTGTGAATGTGTGGCCTGGGAGAATCTCTATTGCCCCTGCTAGAGGAAGGGAGAGAAACCATTAGCCGTAGAATCGCAAACCAGAAGGGCAGCGACTTGAAGGATCCTGTCAAGGAAGAGTGTGAGGGACCAGGACAGCCAGGCGTGAAGGCGAACATTCACATCCAGGGGAAGTGGCCACACAACAAGCTGGCTACTTCCAGTCATGAGCAAGTGTCCAGAGAGCTGGGACAGGAGGCAGGCAGGCTGGAGCAGGCTGAGGAGACGTTGGCAGGGGCTTGATTTTTGCTCTTATTCCTAGCAGGGCTGAGGGGGCTCTGGCTGTCTCTGCCATTTAACCGTGTGTCTAACCCACCAGTGAGGCAGGGGCTTGGCAGTTCCTCCTGATCCCACCATTTTTGAATCTCCGATTTGCGTTTGGAGTTACTACTGCTGTAGGCCCCAACCGCTAGACCCGCTTTCCAGAGCCCAGTGGCTCTCAGCTCAAAGGCCTTCAGAGGGCAGCTGCCTCCCGCCAGCTCAGAGGCCTTTGAATGTCCCCAGGGAGAAGAGAGACACATGCATTTCCCAACATTCCTTTCAGCGTGGATAGCCAGTAAAGCGTAAATAGGTTTGGGTGAAGTTTTTTGTTTTTTTGCAAGTTTCCTGAGAACTCTGTTGTGTTATTAACTTTTTCCATTTTACTGTGTGTGCATGGCATGCGTGCTTGTGTATAGGTACATGAATGTGTGTGTGTGTGTGAATGGGTATGTACGTGGGTGTGGGGGGGCAGAGGTTGATATTAGGGATCATCTTTCTAGTCTTCTTTATTCATTGAGGCAGAGCCCCTTAGTGAAGCCCAGAGCTCCTTGGGGTGGCTAGTCTCCCTAGCCAGCTTGCTTTGGGAATCCTCCATCTCTGTCTTCTGAGGGTAGAGTTATAGGGAGCACTGCCAGGCCCATGAGACATACGCATGGGTTCTGAAGAGCTGAACTCTGGCCCTCATGATCGCATGTCCAATACTTTAACCACTGAGCCATCCCCCCCAGCTTCTCCTGCCACTTCCTTCAGAGACCTAACCAAGTGAGAGTCAGCTCTTCTGTCTCGCTTTTTACCCTCTTTCTGCTACGGCATGACATGATAACCAGAACTCAGAAATCATTGTGTGAATTAGTATAGCCATATACCAAGGATAGCAGAGCAGAGGGATTACCCATTTTCCCAACGCTGTTCTCACTAAAAAGATATATTGTGTCATTTTTCCTGTGTTCATGCATGTCCAGTTGTTCATACTATAATACCCGTTAAAGATAATGCTAAGTTGAGAATGCTCAGTGGGGATGTTTACCCAGAATAAGGAAGGCCATGGACCTGATTCCCAACAGCGTGCGCGCGCGCACACACACACACACACACACACACACACACACACACACACACACACAGTGTGCATAGTGCTATTATTATTATTATTATTATTATTATTATTATTATTATTATTATTATTATTTGGCTTTTTGAGATAGGATTTCTCTGTGTAGCCCTGGCTGTCCTAGAACTTGATCTGTAGACCAGGCTGGCCTCAAACTCACAGAGCTCCGCCTGCTTCTGCCTCCCAAGCGCTGGGATTAAAGGTGTGCGCCACCACCACCCAGCTGGTTTTATTTTTTAAATCAAACATTTTCCCTTCTAAATTCCAAAATAAACACTAATTTCTTGAGGACCATATTTAAAAGTACCAAATTACCAGATATTAATTTACCCTTGTATGAACTTTACTTTTCTTCTTGATAAAGGCCTCAGGACCTCTTTTTAATTGTAGACATGCCATTTAGTTTTGTTTTTTTGTTTTTTTTTTTTTTGTTTGTTTTTTTTCATTTGTGGGTAAAACATTGCTAAGAACTTAAGCTGAGTACTAAAAGAATATGTGCTTGGATTCTGAAGAAGAGATTGGTATGGGCACAGGGACCCAGAACTACTTGTGGCTGCAATTTATAAGGGCCATAACATTCAAATAGGTGAACGTATCTGTCAACAGAAAAAAAAAAAAAAAAAAAAAAAAAAGATAATAACCTGTAACAAAGCCAGGATTTTAGTTTGATATATTGCCAGTGAACCTAAAACAAGCAAGCAAGCAAGCAAGCAAACAAACAAGAGTGTCTTTTCTGAGGCAGCAGTCTCTAATCCAGAGGCCATGGCCTCTCAGTTGGCTTCAGGGAGATAAGCTGCCAATGCTGGCATTCCCACTGTGGTAGACACACTGGCACCTGCTTCTAAGCTGGACACTTGGTCCACAAAGGGAAGGGACAGTCTGCGAGAAGGGCTGTAGATTGCTGGGGAAACTCGCCAGTACCAAGACATGGGGCTCCCGGCAGCCACTTGATGGTTTCGTCTGAATGTATGGGTGGTGGCCTACTGTGAAGAGAATACACGTTTGTGTTTGTGTGTGTGGGTGTGGGTGTGTGGGTGTGTAAGAGGGTGACACAAATGAGTTTCTAACCGTGCCCAGTCAGTTCTTACTAGTTTGAAATTACAACCAGAAAAAGCATGTATGTTTGAATCAGTAGGAGGAAACAAACAAAATTAACTGTACATCAAATTATTGCTATGCCATAAAAATGAATACAACAAAATCCACTTAACACAAAAACTCTTACAAAAACCATAACACAAAAGCAAAATATTAAATCCTAAAAATAAGCACTTAAGTCAATAATAGAAAAGCAATTGGTTGATTATGGAAAATGCCTCCATTCATTCCAAAATAACAAGGCAACTTAGTAGACAAACTACTCAATTTGAAAAAAAAAATTGAAAAATAAAGGACTAACATAGAATACAATTAACACAACAATTTAGAAAAATTAATGAAAAATAAAAATCATCACCTAAATAAAAGGAAATAAATGCTGAACAAATAGTAAACTTCAGAAGTAAAAATTAATGTAACCCTGAAGGAAAAATAATGAGGAAACAATGATATATATATCTGTGTATAACCAGAGAAAATATAATTTGGAATAACTTTTATGCAAAACAATTTTCTGTAACTTCATATTCATTTATCTAGTAGTTCTACTAATGGCAATATCCAAATAAAACTTATGTTAAAATTTCACTAAAACATTATTTATGGTAGCAAAAAACCCCCCACAAATTTATAATATAAAGAACTGGCTTGAGTCAGGCATGGTGGCACACACCTGTAATCCCAGCACTCAGGGAGGCAGAAGCAGCTAGATCTCTCTGAGTTTGAGGATAGTCTTCTCCTGGTCTACAGAGTGAGTTCCAGGACAGTCAAGGCTACACAGAGAAACCCTGTCTCAAAATAATAATAATAATAATAATAATAATAATAATAATAATAATAACAACAACAACAACAACAACAACAACTGTCTCGGGGCTGGAGAGACGGTTCAGTGGCTAAGAGGTGACCAACAGTTGTTTGTAATTCTAGGTCCAGTGGATCCGATGCCCTTTTCTGGCCCCTGTGGGTTCCTGCATGCATGTGGTCAGTAAACACACACACACACACACACACACACACACACACGCACACGCACACGCACACACACACGCACACACATGCATAAAGTAAAATACACTGGAATTTAATGGCCAAGCCAGGATCTATACATGAATTTGTGCAGTACTTTAAAACTAGGGTTAAAGCATTTCCTAATAGAGTAACATAGCTGCCTATTCAAACATTTAATAACATAACTGTTATTCACAGTAGACTTAAGTTATATCATGGCTTGCTATATGCTGTCAGGATTTTGGCATATAAACAGAACAAGGTTAGAAGGTTAAATAGCACAATCAATAATGATGACATTTCACAGCTATAATTATGGGTTTTTTTTTTTTTGACACTCTGGTTCCCGTATATCAAAGTTGGCACAGTGCTAGGAATTTATGAGCATATGATAATGATAATGGAACACCAACCTTTGTTGGCGTTCTTCATGTATGCCACTCATTTTCTCTATCTCTTCTTCGTGTCAGTAAAGCTATTCTGTTCTGTAGCTGTCTGGCTGAAATCTGCAAAAGTGAAGCCTGATTTTTTTTTTTTTTTTCATTCTGAAGCTTTCAACCTTTGTGTGTATTAATTTTTGAGTTCCCATATAATGGCCAAATAGAAAACAAACGAACAAAGATGCATAGATGGATTTCTTGGCAGTTCCTTTTCTTACCGCTCTCCACAGCATGGACGCTCTCAGGTTTTTCCTTGTCTTCTAAGGTGCCGTCTGCAGGGCCTGCAGCAAAAAGAAGACGCTTTATTGACTCATCTACATAAACTGGGATGGATCCTGTCACTGACAGTGTCAGGTGGGGTGTGCTTTTACCTCCAACAACCGCAGAAGACGAGAACTCCTCGGCACTTTTAAGTATTTTAAACTCCGAGACGTCATGTTTCCTATCCCTCAAGGTTTTCTCCTCTGAAAGGCAAATGGCTCCGTTAGACAGCTGGCGAGGGGGAGGCAGGCGCTGCTCCGAGCAGACAGACTTGGATTCAGTCGGACTGTTCTTTAAGAGCTGTGGGCATGCAGCTGCTTCACCTACTTGTCTCATGTTTTCCTTGGCCAAACAAAGATCATTGCATGCAAAGTTGTAAGCATTTGCTGGTGCGGACGTGGGAACTTTGCTCCTTGACCTGTTTCATGATACATATTTTGTGATTAACAAGCTCTCACTCTTCTCCCTTGACAAACTTTACTTAAATATATGTGGGGCTAGCGTTCCACAGCTGGAAGTGTTAAGAAGGTTGGCTTTATTGTCAGACTTAGGATAATCAGTGAGTTTTTAACAGGGTTTTCAAGTTCACAGCATATAGGAAAATATCTACTTGTATGTTCTAGTACGGAAGACATAAAGAACTTCAAAACTTATGTTTTTTTTTTCCCCCTCACAGTTTCAGGTATAAGGAATTACTACAGACTGTAGCAAACATGAAAGATGGATTTATGTTTCCACCTAGTGTCTTCACTTTGACAAGGTCAACTCAGCAGTATAGCACTCTGCTCCCATCACTGTCTGCTCTGCTTCTTGTTCCCTCCCTCTCTTCTTTCTTCCTTCCTTCCTTCCTTCCTTCCTTCCTTCCTTCCTTCCTTCCTTCCTTCCTTCCTTCCTTCCTTCTCTCCTTCCTTCCTTTTTCTTTCTTCCCCCTCTTTCCTTCCTTCCCCCATTCTTTCCTTCCTCCTTTCCTTCTTTCCTCCCTCTCTACCTCCTTTTATTTTCTTCTTCTCTCCACCTTCTACTACAATATAAACACCAAGGGTAAAAGAATTTCATGCCATTTGTCTAATGCAAAGGAAATACTAAAGTGTTGGTTGAATAAATTAATGATCTCCGAGTTAATAGGTACCCCCCTTTGATCTTTAAGTGGCCATGAACACTATGTACACTTGGATTTGGCATTTTAAAAGTGTCCCATTTTCTGGATGGACACTGGGGTGCCAGGCCCTCTCAGTTCCTGCTTTGTAAAAAATTCTTTAGGTCGAATGATGGATTCTTTTACTGGCTTGTAGGCTAGTCAGAAAGAAGAAAGGCAAAATAGGTGGGCACATATGTTCTTGTTTAGCGGGAATACAACATTGCCACAAATGAAGAGTTAATTTCTTATTGAATGGCTTTAAAATAGAAAATGTCAAAAAAAAGTTTTCCAGTTTGTATAGAAAGCCAAACAAACAAACAAACCATCTAAATGAAGTAGGCAAAAAAAAAAAAAAAAAAAAAAAACTTCTCATAACAAACTCTTCCAGGGTCCCAAGAAGGACTACTATAAACTAGGTACACTGCAAATGTCGAGAAAAGTTTCTCAATAGACAGAATTCTAAATCGTTTTAATATACCCTGACTGAGCGGGATGTGTTTTAGAAATCCAAAAATAACTTGATATTGAAGTAGAGCATTGTTGGTCAAATGAACCAGTCAGAGAAGGAAAGCCTTTATGATTGTCTTGCTAGATGCTGAGAAAATAAAAACATTCTTAAGGAGAAACCCCAAGAGAGCCTTTTAACTATACCGGCTTGGGCAGGGGGCTCCCTTAGTGGCAAGAACACCCGAGGTCCTTCTACTGGGCTTCAGTTCGGCTTCCAACTCCCACATGTGACCCCAGTACTCATTCAGAAAGAGGAAGAGGAGTGAAGGCTCAAGCTCAAGGTTAGCCTTGACTACATAGTTCCAGGCCAGATTTATACATGTATATATGTATGTATATGTATATAAGGAAAGCACACAACAGCTAGAGATATCAATTCTACCAAATCCGTCTATGAATTAGAAAAATAGTTATGAAATTAGAGCTCCCATTTTCCTGGGGAAAAGCAAGCAGATAAAGATCACGTTCATGTTTATTCTAAACTATGGGTGACCAGCAGGGTGTGACTGGTCAGGAGCTAGCTTTTGGAAAGGAGGGTTGAGGCCTCCTCTCTAAATTCACTGTTTAGCTTTAACTGCCATCTATAAAATAAAGACGTGGGTGTTCACGACCCAAACGTCCAGCTGTGTCAAGGCTGGCATGTGCTCTAAATGGCAAGCATTCTGAGGTGAAAAGCTTGTTTTAATTACCAGTGTGGACAAAGTCACAGATACTGTTCGGTCTCTGCCCAGGAAGGAACATCCAAGTTCATGGGCACCTTTCCCTCAGGTTAAATGAATGAATTTTTGGGGGATGTGCCGTAGTTTCTCCTCATCCCTCCAGCCATTTACTGAGAGACTCTAATTGTGCTAATGGCAAGGATACCAAAACTAATGAACTGAAGTCCGTGTCCTCTGCTAGCCAGGCTTGACCACCCACCAAGACACACAGAGTTTAAAGCGGGAAAATGGTTTGTTCACCGTGCTTTCTGGCTTTCTGATCGGCCATAAGCCTCTCCTTCACAACTCTGATAGCTGTGTTGGTGGCATCAGTTATGGTGTCTTTTATTAGTTTTTCACGAGCTTCATCAAAACGTGGTTGAACAAGTTTGGCATAGTCAATTACCTGCAGAAATAGTCAAGAAAATTAGTGTGAAGACAAGGTGAATATAAAATACATCTATCTATCTATTTACCTACCTACCTACCTATCTTCCAAAAATAGATACTGCTTGAAGAGTCTTTGGAATTAGATATAAAATACACTGATTTTTTTAAAATTCCATTTTATTTTTAATTTAAAATGTATTTTTATTGTTGTTATTTGTATGTCTGCGAGGGATGGGTACATGGGTATGAGCACACGAGTGCAGGCTCAGGCACACGAGTACAGGTTCCTGCAGAGGTCAGCGGGGTCAGATCCCCTGGATCTGGCATTCCAGGTGGTTATGAGCCAGCTGATGTGGGTGCGGGGCATTGAATTTGGATCCTCTGGAAGAGCACATGTTGTTCTTCCCCCTTGAGCCGTCTCTCCGGACACCTGTTCTTAATTAAAAAGATTTACCTTAAGCCTGTGAGTAGTTTGACCACATGCATACATATGTGTCATGTCTGTGCTTGGTGCCCGTAGATGTCAGGGGGAGGCATTAGATCCCTAAAACTGGACTTATGAATGACTGTGCATTACCACGAAGGTGCTGGGAACCAAACCTGCGACCTCTGCAAAAGCAGTGAGTGTTCTGAACCATTGAGCCATTACTCCAGCCTCCTTATTTCCTTTCATATATATATCTGTGTTTTGTCTTCATGGATGTTTGCGCGCTACATACATGTGACGCCCCCAGAGGCCAGGAGAGGATGGTTAGATCGCCTGGGACTGGAGTTGCAGTTGGTTGTGAGCTGTTATGTGAGTTCCAGGAACTGGGTTCTCTGGGAGAGAACAGAGATCTATCAATCCAGCCTCAGAGTCACTAGTTCTTATGTCCATTCCTTCTTACAGGACTCAGCCATGATTTATATAAAAACATATAAACATAAGTTATGTATATATTCTGGTTGCATGTGTATTTGACTTAATAAAAATTAAGACACGCCAAGTCAGCTTCATGTGTGTAATTTATAATAGAGTAAAAAGCATGCACTTTAATAATGTCAGGAATTTTTGCAATGATAAGCGTACAACAACCCAAACCAATATACAGAACTTCTACATTAGCTCCAGAATGTTCTTTTTAATAGTCAATTCCTTTCTTCTCTATTTTGCCCACACCTCTCATTCCTAGTCCTTGTCCTAGTCCTTGGCCTATTTTGTCCTCAGTCACTATAGATCATTTGCACCTTTTCCTGAATTTCTTATAAGTTATATGGAATGTAATCTTTTTCAGGCTCCCTCTCCTTAGTAAACGTTTTCTATCTGTCTGTCTGTCAATCTATCTATCTACCTACCTATTTATCTCTCAACATTTTACTGATTCTTGGTGTATTTCACAACATGTACTCCAGTCCCACTCATCGCCCCATCCCTTCATAGCCAGCCTCTGCTCTTGCAACCTTCCCACCAACAGAAAACAAACAAACAAACAAACAAAAACAAAAAACAATCTTGTAGAAGCTGTAGTGTCCCACAGTATTCCCTTTTGTCCACACTTCTTTATTTGTAAATGTTCATTGCAATGATTCATTGCTCCGGTTCGAGGCCTCTGGCTTCTGCTACACCATCAATACGGGATCCTCACTGGGACTCCTGTTAGATATCCTGTTGTTGCCCTGTGTCATGGAGATCCTACAGCTTTGGATCTGCAAGGCCAGCTCCTTCACATGCTCCAGTAGTTAATAGATAGGGTCGATATTGGGACGGGCCAACTCAAAGCCCTGGATTTGGGCTTGGGTGGAGGTTGAGCTGGTCAGTCCCCAGGAAACCTGCACCCACACCACCAGGGTGAGCTCTCCAGCATTTGTCCCTACTAACTCACCCAATGTCCCTGCTGGCAAGGGGCAGAGCCAGATCTTCCTTTCCCACACTCCCAGGGCCAGCTACCCATGCCCACCCACACCAAGCAGGGCCAGCTACCCATGCCCACACCAGCAGGGCCAGCTCTGCTGTGCTGCCCAGGTGAGGTGCAGGGCCTGCTCTCCTGAGTGCTAGAGCCAGAGAGGGATTGGGCCAGCTCTCCAGCCTACCAGAGGTGGCAAAGGATGGCAGGGGCCGGACAAGGCACCACTCTCTTGCGCATGCCCCCACGACATGGCAGAGAAGTCGTGGCGTCTCTCCCACGCTCACGCCCTTGGGGCTGCTCACCTGCACCCCCACCACCAGGGTAAGCTCTATTGTGGGCCTCCCAGGCAAGGTGTAGGGCCCACTCTCCAGCAAGGGGCAAGGACAGCTCTCCTGCTCTTGTGACCCCAGGGCCCAGTGTGCCTGCTGCAGGTGTCAAGGGGCGAGTCTGGGGTGGGTAGGGAATGTTTTTGCAATTCATCAGTTCATCTTTTCATTGCTCAGTGCTGTCCCACTCTGAGTACCCTGGTTTTTCACTCAGCCATCTTCTGGAGAACACTTTGGTTGTATCCAGGCCTGGGATCTTAGAAATAAAGCCCCGATTGACATTTATATGGAATCTTTTGTAGATTTGTGTTTTTGTTACTTTGAGGTGGAATTACTGGGCCTCGTGCTAGTGTTATATTTGACTTAAAAAAATGGAAGAGGTATTTCGTCTGCAGCCTTGCAAAACACTTATTTGGCTTTATGAACCTTTTCGATTCTAGCCATTCTAGTGGGTATGGAGACAGTTCTCACTGAGGTTTAAATTAGGATTTTCCCAATCACTGAAAATTTCAACCTTTTCTTTGTTGAGGGCTGGACTGATCCAAGGCTTTCGCAGCCCTAATGCATAGAGAAGGAACACAGTTCCTTGTCTAAAACCAGAAGTTGTGTTTGGCAGGGCTGGTTGTGGCCCAGGGCCAGGGGACTTGGAGGAGCTGCAGCCGGGTGCCCTGACAACCCGAATCTTCCCACTGTGAGGCTGTAGGTAGCAGCCCCGAGGCTGCAGTGTGCTTGACCTCTGGTGTTCCTGAGATACCGTGTTCCTCTTGAGAAACATTGTGTGTGGGGGTGGAGGGTGGAGGGTGGGGATGAAGGGTCGGGGGTGGCGTCAGCAGTGGAGAGAATTCCTTTGTCATTCTCTGGTGACTTAGAGAGCTGTGACCAGGCGCCATCTTGAGACTGAACCTACTATTAAAACTGAGCTACCCTGGGTGTCACGGAATCCTGGAACAGGGGACGATCACAAGTCAAAGACCCTGAAACCAACTGGCTCCAGCTCCAGGCTGAGAAACAGCTTGAGGGACAGTCCTGGAATTCAGGAGCGCCAGACACCAACAACCTCAAGAGTACAGTCCCAGGTGCTGACCTCCTCACTAAGAATAACCTTGGAGTTTACTATCCCTGAGCCTGAGGTCCGCGATGGACCAGCCTCTGGAGCATGAATAACCACATTTCAGATCTAGCTCTCTGCAGTGAGGTTCCCTGGCGAAGAAACTGGGGACCCTAGGGCACCAGAGGACTTCTGAATACCTCCAGCTGTACCCCTCCGGCATGACTAATGTTGGTGACTAATGTTAATGTGTTTTGAGAACATAGAGACATCTGTTCAGATTTCAGTGCTGTGGTTGCTTCCTCAATTCCCAGGGGACTTGAGAGGCACTCCCTAGGCACAACAGGAGCCATCTAGGGCATGCCCACTGGGGCGACTCTTAGTGGAGCCTGCTCAGCCTAGAGACTACAATCTTTAGAGTGACCACCAGAGGCCAGTGCGTTAAGGAGGGAGGCCATTGAAATGAGGACAGCTCTGGGGGACATTGGATGCTTAGCCAGCACAGGCTCAGAAGGAGCATAAGTCATAGGAAAGACAGGATTCCCCAAGATCAATTGCCCCCTTTCTTCCCAAGTACCTGGTAGATTCCCACTCTGAAGACCTCAAAAACTACCATGCTGACATACCATTTTAAAAACTGTACTTTCAGCAGTGTTTTGACCTTTGCCTTGTTTTTAGAAACTTATTTATTTTTATTTATTGACTTTCCCCATTAAATGTGTTTATACTTTTTATTTTATCATTAGGCAGTCTCTATTATTTTAATATCTTCCTATTTCCTCCCCCTTCATAATGGTATTTTTTCCTGTTTTTTTTTTTTAATTTAAACTTGCTTCTCTTTTATTTTCTTCTCTTTCCATGTATGACTCCTTTACTTCAGCCACTTACTATTTATTTATTTGTCCAGATAATTCTTAACATTATTTTTTCCATTTTTCATTTCTGAGTTAGTTTTGTGGTGAGTTAGTAGGATTTTAAGTATATTTCTTATCTTGTTTGGTTTGTTGCTGTTCTAAGAAATTGTTTTCTCCTCTGTGAGTGCTGCAGAGTATTAACCCTCAAGAAATAAAATGGGGAAAGATATCCAAACCAGCAGATGACCAACCCTGGAACAATCATATGAAGAAGCAAGGCAATATAACTCTGTTGGCATAATGTTCTTGTGGAATGTATACAGTTTACCCTTGTTCATTCAAATGTTGATTTCTCTACCCCACCACCTGGTTTCAATCCAGACATTGCATTGTGATATTTATTCTAAGCATCACCTGTCTCAAGTTTGTGTAAACATGCTTCCATTTGTTCTCTGTATTGTCAATAAAACAACCAGCCAATGCTGAGCAATGGAAAGAATAGGGTGGGACATCTTGGTCCAGAGTGGGAGGAGTTGGAGAGCAGAGATCAGCAGAAGGGGACTTGGAACCATGAGGAGAGATGAACCAGACCTAAGATATGACTAAAAGCAAGTATAATGTGGGAAATCTGAATGGGAGGAAACTATGTGGGCTTGGAGGGTTAGGATGGAATAAATATTGCCAGCTCTAGGTTAATTAAATAAATCCCAGTCTCTGTGTGGTGATTTACAGCTGGTTTAGGAATAACCACTGTTTAACTAAAAGACAAATCAATAATAAATATTAATAATCAACTCCTTTAAAAGATCCAGCTACTGAATTCAAAAGTACTGAGATGAGCCAAGCATGGTGGAATTACACCTGTGATCCCAGAACTCTGGGAGGCAGAGGCAGGCGGAGCTCTGTGAGTTTGAGGCCAGCCTGGTCTACAGAGCAAGTCCAGGACAGCCAAGGCTACACACAGAAACCCTGTCTTGAAAAAAATCAAACCAAACCAAAAAAAAAATCAACCAACCAACCAACAAAAAAGAAAGCAAAACAAACAAACAAACAAACAAACAACCCAACACACACACACAAAACCCAAAACCAAACAAAGAAACAAAAAGTAATGAGATGAACAAAACACTTTGTTCAGACTTAAAAGTTTACTTATAGACGTGACCGGTGACCTAAGGGAATATGCAGAAAATTAGGCAGATCTGAGATACAATAACTAAAGGCAAAGCCGAAAGATTAAATAAGGGGTCATGTTCTCCATCCCAAATATCCTTTTAGCTGCCTTTAGTGGTATAGATGTGTTCTGAGCTGAATGTAATTTCTGTCCATTTTAGGATGGAGAACAACTTCACTGAGGAGAAGAGGGGGTGGAGCCAACAAGCCAGGAGGCTGTGAGGATGCTAACTGCAGATACTGAAATCCCCGAGAATGAGCACAGGTGTGAAACTGTGGGGAGGTGGAGAGGTAGCCTGGGGAAGATGACCCAGGAGATGGGTGGGGTGAGTATGGGGGCTGTTGGGAGCACGAACGGACGGCAGTGGAGAACCTGTGACAACCGCAGGGGGGGACGCCTTCCCCTGTGCCAACCCCAGGGCCCAGTGTAAAAGTTCTGAAAACCAAGTTCAAGTAAAATTCTACAGATTCGAACAAGGCCTCCCCAGGTGGTTACCTTTCCTTTGAAGTACTCAGCAAGGAGGTTGCACAGCGTTGTCTTCCCAGCGTACCTGGGGCCGAATATGAAGAGCTTACACGGTGGGATGGGCATGGGTGGCAGGAGGTAGAGACGGGGGTTCGTTGAAAACCACCTTAATGTTTCGTCGGAAGAAAGGCAGTACATTTTACCTAGAAAACTTAGAATACACCGCGAGGGTAAGCAACCGAAAGCATCGTGGGCAGGTGGAAAATTTAGGCTCTAGAAAGCTTACTAACCTCACAGAAAAATCTGCTGTTCCGGGATAAACGTTCCCATCCTTTAAGGACACGGGGCAAGCACGACCCCACTTGCTTCGATGCCATCTGTACCTTGGCCCAATGAGTTTGTAAGACGCGAGCGACCGGAACAGCTCCTCCTGTGAGTGAAGCACAAACGCCGCCCTTAGGATTGGGGCCCTACCCTTTGCGGCACCAAATAGCCCACTTTCATTTGGTAGCACTTTACTATTTAAGGAACTATTTTAAATGCACGTTTTGGCATTTGGGGTTACTTACAGTGCATGGCAGTCATCCAGTATTTACTGAGATTGGTTTTCATTTCCTTAAAATATGTGTGTGTGAGGTGCAAGATTAGAAGAAGAGAGTGCCTACAGATGGAAGGAAGGGAGCATTGGGTAGACAGCCCTCGGACAGTGGCATGGCCTCATCCTGGCATCGCAGCACCTGATTCGGTGATTGCTTGAGTCTTTGGTTCAGTGAGCTGTGTTGGCAGCAGGCTGTTCTTGGCTTCCCACCCCATTCGCTTGAGCAATGTCTTTCTCAACTGTTAAGACATGAAAAAGATCCCAGTAGACAAGATGATGCGGCCTGCTCTGCCGCTGCCGCTGCGGCAGTGTGAAAAGGGTTGTACTGGAGAGCATTGTGGAGCATACATAGTCTTCTAGGTGTAGCATGCATGATACCATCTGGTCATGTGTATGTGTGTGTGCTCACACATGCAAGTTCATTTGTGTATGTGAGGCCAAAGAAATACCTCAGGTGTCCTCCTCAGGAGTGTCATCTCCCTAATTTGAAATTGAGTCTCTCCATGGACTCAAACCTACCTCTTAGACTAGACTGGCCCCACCTTCCCAGCACTGGGATTGTCCCCATGTGCCACCACGTCCAGCATTTTTATCTAGGTTCTGGACGTCAAACTCAGGTCCTCATGCTTTGAAGAGAAGCACCTAACTATCTCCCCAGTCCTGGTTACTGTCTTGTTTGTATAGTAGCTGTTGTTTGTTGTCCTCTTGAAGAAAAAAGGTTTATTGACTACACTGCAAGGAGCAGCAGGCTGGGCAGTAACTAAATACCACCAGCCTTTGGTGTGTGGCTAAGGATCCAGCTGCCTTCACGGCCAAGCGCTGGGATTACAGGTGTACGCCATCAGCCTTGCAGGCTGTCACCATCACCGTCAGAGCAGCTGTGACTGCCTGCAGGTGTCCTTCTCAAGATCTGATAGTGTTCCCTCACAGAAGGGAGGAGTGAGGAGGGCCAGCGGACCCTCATCCAGGGTTCTGCCCTGCTTCCTAACAAGCTGCATGTAATTCTACCCCAGCTACGTGTATGGGGAATACAGAGTGCGGAAGACGCACTGAAGGGGAAACTCCATCTCTGCTGCTTCGGGAGGGTATCACCTTGTTGGGACGGGACTTTTCAGTGATGCAGCTGTTTGCCGGGGGCAGGGGGAGGGTCACCCACGTTCCTGTAAGTAAGCCCAATAAACTCTGGTTCACCAAGAAAAAAAAAAAAAATATGTGTGTGTGTGTGTCATGGAACGCAGAGAACAATTTGGCATCGTCACTTTTCTTCTTCCACAACGGCGGATTCAGAGTTTAAACTCGGGTGGTCAGGTTTGGGGACAGGTACCTTTACCACTCTGGCCACCTCCCTTGTCCACTTTCATTTCTTTAAGAAAATCTTATTAAATTTTACAGATAATTTTCTCTCACGTGGCAATAAGTGTAACAGGATTGTCTATCATCTACTTCAAAAATGAGAATCTGGAAATATCTCATTGATAAACCTTTAAAATATATCAGAATCTTAGTCGATGAATTTAAGTCTAACCCGGTTTGTTTTGTTTTTGTTTTCTGTTTCTTTGTTTGTTTTGTTTTTTAATAAGATAGGTTTTGCTGTGTAGCCCTGGCTGAACTTGTTATTGAGACCAGGCTGGTCTTGAACTTACAGAGATTTGCTTGCCTCTGCCTCTCAGCTGCTGAGACTACAGACATGCACCATCACACTTGGCACTAAGCTTTCCACTTTTTAGGGCCAAATAGTATTCCACCAAATGTGGATATAGGATATTGTGTTCAGCCACTCCTTCCCTGATGGGCAACAGAATGTCAGGCCTGGGGAAGGTAAATGGGTATCAGAGGGGTATTGCTAGCGGCCCTGACTTACTCTCTTCCTCCACCATGCTGTCTGTCTCTGGCAATGGCGCCTGCACTTACCCCAGAGCCCTCACTTGGTTTCTATCTGTCTGTCTGTATATGGCACTAATAACTCTTGTGACAAATGTCTTACTTCTCGGTACTCTGTCTCAGTGTCCCCCTTGAGTCCTTACTGAGACCATTCGAAATCCCAAGCAGCAGTGCGAAAGCGTTCCAAATTCTCTCCCACTCACTAACACTTAACTTCCCGATTTGGGGATAATTCTCTCCCGCAAACGAGGCAGGGTGCCATCGCACTTTGGATTGTCATTTCCACGTGATCAGTCATGCTGGACATATTTTCGTGTTCCTTTTTAAAGCATTCATCTCTAGTATTTTAAATCGTGTGTAGGTGTTTTTGAGAGCACATGGGTATTTGCCTGTGAGTGCAGGGCCTGAGGGTGCCAGAGGTGTCTCGTCCCCTAAGGCTGGAGTTTCTAACGGTCGAGAACTGTCTTGTGCGCGTTAGGAATTGGAACCAGGTCCCCCAGAAGAGCGGTTAGTGCTCCTAGTCACTGAGCTAAGAGACCCCTTTCATGTTCCCATTGTTTATTTATATGTTTGCTTTGGATAAACATCTGCTTAACTCCCTCATCCACTTATGAATTGGTTTCTTTGTTGCTATATATTGAATCATTCACAACTCCTGACCGTTTGTGGCAAAGGGAATCACAGGCAAAAACTCCCACGCTGTTTCCTGGTCCCCCTTCCTCTGCAGTGCTGACTGGCCAGAGACCAGCTTTCCATGGCACCACATGACTAAATGACCTCTGCAACTAGTAGTCTTTTTAGATTGTGGAATCTACCCACAGTAGCATTATTTTAAAATTTTCTATACACATAGGATAACCTAAACTTCCCAGAATGGACTGAAACCTCCAACTAAAAATCCTTCAGTCTCCAGCACCCAGCAGCTGCCTTTCAACCATCCTCATGGTCCATCACCAGGCCCTGCACATCGGAGCCAGCCCGACGGCAGTGATGATGAACAAGTGCTTGTAAAGTTGAGATTCTAGCTGTTGCTCTCTTCAGCGCTCTAAAAAATTTAACGTGAACTCGTATTTCCTTTTTTTTCCCCCTGTTCCCTCACCCTCTGAAATAGCTGTGAAATAGCTCTGATCTCACCCCTTGTGTTTTTTTTATTTGGAAATTTCTGTTTTGTTGCAGTCAGTGTTGCAGATAATATTGTACCCAGGTGACCTCTTCTTCCTGGAAGAAGATATCGGTATGGAGAGCTGTCCTCAGACCTTAGGAGACACACTCTGAGAACACAGCTAGCATTGAGCGGGCATGCTTTCAAAGAGGTCAGTTGAACTCACAGTGTCTACTATGTCATTCATTTCTTCTTCTGTGCTCTGAAGCTTGGTTATGATGGCTCCTCGTTTCATATTCAAGTACTTCAGCTTTTCTATAACTGTCTAAATTTAAAGAACAAACATTTGAATATATTGGCACTTGAATATATCAAACATTATTTAAAAAGTCATAGGCTCCTGGGCGCTAAACATTTGGCATGTCTCAGCCAGCACATCTTGAAGAAGCCTGCCGATGGAAGTGTGTGCTCATGGAATGGCTGCACATTTGAGAAAACCATAGAGAAAGACAACCCTATCCCACCCAGGAGAGGGTTGACACTTACTGAAAAAGGGAAATTCAGAAAGCAGCACATGGCTGGGCAGTGGTGACTGGGGAGTACTAGCCTGTTATGCGTGGCGAGTGGTCAGTGTCTAACCGGACACGCAGCTGTTGAATGTGAGGGAGCTGAGCATCCTGGTGCATGATCTGGGGGAAAGGTCCAGGACAGCACAATGGTTTTAAGTCATGCACTTTTGAGGAGGTATTTCAAGCTGTTAGACTTGATGGAGTCCCCGAAGGGGGAAGGAAGGAGGGACGGGGCGTAGCTCACAGGGAGTGAGCTCTACTGTCCTCCAGTCTTAGACATTAGATCTCTGGAGTGTCCAGGGAGAAGCAATGGAGCCATTGGGGGTGGGGCTTCCTGGAGGCCAAGGGAAGATGAGATCAAGAAAGAGGAATGAACAGTGGTGACTGTTAGATTCAATCCACTGAAGACTGAACATGACCACTGGCAAAGAGGAGAGAGAGCTCTGTGATCTTACAGGCACGAGTCCCACCTGAGGGCTTCTCCCTGCTCTGGCTCCACCACTGGAGGCCTTATGATGGTACCACCCATGAGATGAGCCATTGTCCTCATCTCTTCTTCCTCTTTATTCCCTTGCTAAGTTGCTGACCGGGTCCCACTACATGGGGAGCACTCTTCTTCCTGAAGCACTCTTTCACTCAACCCTGCTGTTACCAGCGTAGGTTAGGCCACCATCTTCTGCTCAACTGACCCCGAGAGAGCCACAGTAGCAATCCTACCACCATTTTGCGTCTCCTCCACTTTTCCCTCACACTGTAGTCTCAGTAGATTTTTCTTTCCTGTCTGGCTTCAGCCCTGTCCCTGGCTACCTGTTTCCTCATGATGAGATCTGAACTCTTTACTTGAAAAAGACTCTACTCTGGTCTATGGAACCCTGGGTCTATTCCACACTTCCTACCTCTTCCTCCTGCCTCAGCCCTAAGTTCAGTCCCTGTAGCTCACTCGGTTCTTTCCTGGCCCTTGGCTATTTGTGCAGACTCTCCCCCAAGCGGAGAACATGTCCCACCCACTCCCGCATCTGAGGTCTAATTCTTACTCATCCTTTACGTGAAATTCACACGTATGACCGCTAGGTACTGCCCTTCTGTCACAAGCTCCTCAAATACCTTATATACTTCTCTTGACCACAGCACAAGCGACCACTTGCATACTGATTTCCCTCGGTACATTGGACGCTATATAACGCGAGGGACTCGTGGATTCATCAACTTTCTTCCCGCATGCGTTCCCAGACCTCATCATTATGCCAGATCCTTGTAAGATTAAAATGAAGTTATTGTGTTCTGTATCGTTAATTAATCGTGGTGCTTGGTATTAGTCCTAGGGCCTCATTCATAACGAAAAGCTTTGGCCATCACAGTGTGGGCAAAGCAGCAGCCACGCTGGTTTTAAGTTGCACACCCTTAACGCCTACCGATGCCAGCATCCCATCGTGTCACCCGCCCTCCGCTTTTACTTCTCTTGGAGGCACTTGTAGCCGTAGCGGACATTTAAATTCAGACGTGGTTCCGCCTTAAACATGAACAGATGAATGAGTGCCACGTGGGATTTTAAAGTGTCAGAGCAAGAACCAGCGGTCACAGACTGAGGGTGACCCTGAAGCGGTTCGGAACTTCTCAGTGTCTGCGCGGCACAGCGCCCTCACCTGGTACTGCTCCTCCGGTGACTTGTTCCCGTCCAGCTCGAGGAGATACTGGGGGTTGTGCTCCGCCATTAGCTCCTGGAGAGAACCACGAGAGAAACCTGGTAACGCAGGACTGTAGGGGACGCCTGAATCCGAGACGAGAATCTCGGCGGGCCGGGAGGGAAACTGAAGAACTGATTTCGTCTGCCTCATGCAGGTTGCAATGTGTGTGGCTTCCAGCATTCGACAGAGCTGGCCTGCCTACTGTGGACCTGCGTTAGAGATGCCGAGGATTTGCACAGCCTGAGCAACCACCTGCCCGCTGAGCTACACCTCATCTCCTGCTACTGTCCTTGCTTTTTTTTTTTTTTTCCTCTCTCTATCTACTCTAAAGCTTACAAGCCCTTCCTGAGACAAAGGGTTTTGGGGACATTTTGCAGCACATAACTGTAGCTTTGCTACTTTTGTTTTAAAAGTGCAGAAAACGCTGACTGAAATTTAAATCATGTGCTTTCTTCATTTAGATAATAGCATCGCTTAAGCTGCTTGCTGCACCTTTTCTTACTTTAGGGCACACTTTTTTTTTTTTTTTTTTTTATAGAAAACTTGCAGGACTGAAGAATACAAAGAAGAACAGCTTTAATCCAGTCAATAAAAGGAGGCTATTACAGTTACTACTGTTTCCCATCCATTTCTTGTTCTGTGAAAAAAAAATTTTTTTTTGCATATTTGAGATCAAAATGTATATGAAACTTTGGAGCCTAATTTGCTGATAAACATCATAATTTCCTATCAACATCGCATCTTCACAGTTCCTAGGATTACATACTATGGCTACAGCGCTTACTTAGCACTCCTTTGCTATTCCACATTTAAGCAGATTATAATAGCTTGTTAACTTTTAAATTTTTCTACTTGTTTTTAAAATTAAAAAATATTTTCTTTAATAATTACTATAGTAACTGGACTTGCAGAAGCCATCGAGGAAATACAGAAAAACACACCAAACACACTCTTCATTGTCTCTTTATTCCCTACACTCACTATTGACAGAAATAACACACACACACACACACACACACACACACACACACAAGTGTTTAGCACTACTGACTAAATGTCATTCACTCCATCCTTAGATACTGAATAATGGACTAGGTTTCTAAAAGTGGGTTTTAATGTTGGCAGATACTATCCACTGATTTGTTTTTCAGAAGGTTGTAGAGTTCAAATGTCTCACGGGCAATACAGAGAATGTTCATCCTTTCCTGCCATCATCGGCTAGTTTAGCTTTTATAGTCTGACAGACTGAGTTGAAAAATAGATCTGTTTAAACTTTTCATCTTGCTGGTGAGATCCACATTCATATTCCCACCTCTATTAACAGTCTAGTGACTTTTGAAAATCATATTTAACTTATCCTGAGCAGCACAGAGGTAGGTGCTTGGTAGGAGTAAAATAATGTCATTGTGAGAAAGAGGCTTGTGAGCCTGGAGAGACGGCTGAGTGGTTAAGAGCACCCCTGCTCTTATGGAGGACCCAAGTGCAGTTCCCAGTGCCTGCATGGTGGTTCACAACTGCCTGCATCTCCAGCCCAGGGATTCTATACCCTCTTCTGCCCTCCACAGGCTTCTGAATACATGTGGTACACATGAAAGCACACACAAGCACACAAGCACATGCATACACACACACACACACACACACACACACACACACACACACTAAAAAAGAAAGAGACATGGAGGTGCAAGCCTTTTCATCACACAAAGACACTTGAAAACTATTTAACGACAAAGCACCAGTATCAACAGTCCCTCTTCAGCAATGTCGCCTTTTCACCTCTAAAGCATGGAGAAGCGTGTCTTTGTAGAGCTTCATGGAGTTTTCAATGTTATCCAGAAAGTCCTCAGGCCTCTGAACGAGGTGTTGAAGAACCTCGGCCACCACCTGCATTTCAGCCAGAAATGCCTGAATGGGGAAACACAGAAGGGAGAGACAGATTGAACTCTCTAGGAAAATGGTTTCTCGGTTAATGAGGGGCATCCCAGAACACAAACTTGTGGTGAGAAGAAAGGACAGGAGGAAGGCTGGGGACTGAGGAATTTATGTATTCGAGATGGAGCCGGCCTGGAAGTCCTCATGGGAAACTGAACTTTAAATCGACTTGAGTACTTGCTAATTTTTTGTTGTTCTCAATATGCAGAATAGTGAAACTGAAAAACTTCTGTAAGGCAAAGGACACCATCAATCGAACAAAGTGGTAATCCACCGAGTGGGAAAAGATTTTTACGAACTCCTACATCTGATAGAGGACTAATATCCAAAATATATAAGGAACTTGAGAAATTAAAACCAAAACTAATTAAAATAAAAAACCAAGTAACCCAATTATAAAATGGGGTACAGTTCTAAACGGAATTCTCAACAGTGGACTCTCAAATGGCTGAGAAGCACTTAAAGAAATGCTCAATATCTGCTAATCAAACCCACTTTGAGATTCCATCTTACACCTGTCAGAATGGCTAAGCTCAAAAGCACAACAAAAACCAACAGTTCATTCTGGCAATGAGGGGGAGCATTGCTAGTGGGGGTACAAATAGGTACAGCCACTATGGACATCACTGTGGTGATTCCCCAGAAAGATGGGAATGGATTTATCTCAAGACTCAGCTACACCACTCCTGGGCATATACCCAAAGGACACTCCTTCCCAACACAGAGACACTTGCTCAACTATGCTCATTGCTGCTCTATTCATAATAGTTAGAAATTGGAAACAGCCTAGAAATCCTCCAACAGAAGGATGGATAAAGAACACGTGGTGCATTTACACAAAGCCCAAGTCCAAGCTGAGTAATACTCAGCTCTTAAAAAAAATTAGTAACATCATGAAAATTGCAGGTAAATTGATGGAATTAGAAAAAAATCATTTTGAGTGAGGTAACCCAGACCCAGAAAAATAAACATGGCATGTATTTGCTTCTACGTGTATATTAAATACACAAAATTAATTAATTAATTAACCAAGCTACAATCTGTAGTGCCAGAGATGTTAGGCATAAAGGAAGGGACTAGGAAGGACGCATGGATCTTTCTGAGAGGAGAAAAGAGGGTTTAAAGGTGGATTGGAATGGAATCAGAGGGGAGTGACAGGGAGATCAAGTGGGAAGGAGAAGGAGAGATGGGACTGAGGGAGGGATGGAGGGGAGAGACAGCTAGAGTTGAAGAGCATTTGAGAGGCGGTATGGAAACAGTGCAGTTGAAACTTCCCATAATACATGAAGATGATCCTAAGGAAGCCTCCAAATAATGAGGGAGATGAAACCCCTACTGGCCATCTCTTGTCACTAAGCAAAGCTTCCAGTACCAGGACTGGGTTTCATCCATTTGAGTTGTTGGTCCCACAGAAATCCTCAAACAACTCAGGCTGCTGCCAAAACAATAGGTTGCTCTCCACAAATGGACAGCAAGGCCCCATTGCTGAAGATAACACCTACACAACTCATGGAGGGGTCAAGCTGTTGCCTACATAAGAAAGAACCCTCCTCCCCATTGTTTTAGTGTCTATGACATGGCTACCAAAAGAGAAAAGTAAACACCAACCCAACAACAAAACCTTTGATCTAGAATCTGTCCTGACTCTAAAATACTCTAGGGCACTTGTGACACAAACCTGTGTGAGTAACCAACAGATATCTGACCTATTTAATGCCCATTTTATGAGATGGAACCCATAAATCTGATACTGCTTCGGTGACCAAGAACCAGAATCTAGGTAGTCCAGAGACCTATGGTAGAACCAAATACTACGGGTCTAAAAAAGTTGACAAGAAAATGATATTGTGATATCCACTTATGATATTCTGCTATACTCATAGATCAGTGCCTTATTCAGCCATCATCAGAGAGGCCTCCTCCTGCGGCAGATGGGAACAAATAGAGAGACCCACAGCCAGACAAGAGAGAGATCTTGGAACACGCAGCTCTAAATGGGATGTCTCCATCAAACCCCTCCCCTCAGAGCTCAGGGAACCCTGCGGAAGAGGAGACAGAAGGAGTAGGGGAGACAGGGGGGATAAGGGACAGCAGGAGAACAAAGCCCCCTAAAACAACTGGGCAAAGCTCATATGAACTCACAGAGACTGAGGCAGCAATGACAGGGCCTACGCAGGTCTGCACCAGGACATCTGCGCACATACCATAGCTCTCAGCGTAGTACTTATATGGGACTCTTTGAATGTGATAACAAGTGGGTCTGTGATTTTTGTGCCTTCTCAGGACTTTTTTATTGTTTGTTTTCTTGTCTTGTCCAACTTGGAGATGATGATGGTTCTCGTTTTATCTTACTATGATTTATTTTGTTGTGGTTTGTTGTTCTATCCTAGGAGCCTGTTCTTTTTTAATGAGAGACAGAAGGGGAGTTAGATCCAGATGGGAGAGGGGGTGGAGAGGAACTGGGAGGAGTAGAGGGAGGGGAAGCTGTATTCATATCATATTGTATGAGAAAATAATGTATGTGTAATAAAGGAGGAAATACAGAAAAATGTGTATCTTTATTGACTGTGGGAATAGAAGTTAAAATTACATTGAGATTCCACCTCACACAACTCAGATGGGCTATCACCGAGACAACAACCAACCAAAATTGCTGGCAGGGATGCGGAGGAAAAGAAGCCTTTGCATACTGGTGGTGGAAATGTACATTGGTTCAGCAGTTATGGAAAACAATGTGGAGGTTCTTCAGGAAACTAAAATTTAAAGTGATGCGTGATCCAGCTAAGCCAAAGGAGTGAGGGCCAGTATGCAAGCACTTCCCGAAATCTGTGTGTGCCTTGACACTCTTCACAGTAGCCAAGTTATGGGGTTAGCCCATATGGTCATCTGTCAATAAACAGAAAGAAAACACAGTGGTGTGTGTGTGTGTGTGTGTGTGTGTGTGTGTGTGTGTGTGTGTGTGAGAACTGGAGACCATCCTCATGCTAAGTGAAATAAACTACACTCGGGAAGGAAAATCTGCCATGTTTTCTCTCAGATGTGGAATCTGGATTAAAAAAAAAGAGACCTGCACTAGCAAGGTGATTATTTGGAGGGAAAGAGGACCAGTGGGAGCCGTGAGGGCAATACGTGGATGTGTCTGGTCAGAGAACATTGTGTGCACGTGTGAAAATGCCAAGACCAAACCCATTGTTCTGTGCAATTAATATAGACCAATTTTAACGAACGTATTTAAAAAAATCAAATAGCTCTGAAAGCATGGGGGACTTTTAGATATCTCCTCCTGACATAAAAATGTAGAACTTAGTTTCCTCTGGCACCTGCTCTTCCCCTTGCTGTCACTTAATCACAGCAGAGTCTAAAGGGTCTCCCATGATAATGGCTGCAGTGGATACTACCTCCTCCTCCTCTTGCTCTTCTTCCTCTTCTTCCTCTTCAGGTTTTCCTTCTTTGGGGGGCTCCCGCTTCTTTTTCCTGCGGCTCCCAAGGATTTCAGGGTCCCACTGCTCTCTGGAGTATACGTAGCCTGTAGCACTGTGCTGTCTTTGCCCAGAAATTCTTTGGCACAAATCGTAGTCACCACACTAAGAAACATCATTAAGTCATTTAAACCATTCGATTTCCTAGGAAAGGCAGGCTTACATTAAGCCATAAGAGAGAGATAGGCAGAATAATTATCCATTTAGTGACATACTGTGTTGTTTTTTTTTTCTCAGAATTCCCACTCCATTGTGTAGTCTTTTACAGAACCTCACAAATGGACCTTTGTAAGTCTGATCATTTTTCTGAATTGCTCAGAGAGTGTAACTTTCCTTTTTATTCTATTTATTCTTTTAAGTATTTATTATTATTTTTACGTGTATGGGTGTTTTGCCTACATGTATGTCTGTGTCCCATGTATGTGCCTGGTACCCATGAAGGCCAGAAGAGAGTATCAGATTCCCTGTGACTAGAGTTACGCAGCCTGTGAGCCACCGTATGGGTGCTAGGAATTGAACCTGGGTCCTCTGGAAGGGCAGCTAGTGCTCTTAGCTGCTGAGCATCTCTCCAGCCCTTCTATCTTGTTTCTAAGTGTAATTTCTCTAGCGCTTTGGGCTTCACTCCTCTTTGAATAAACTTCAGCTTTGCCTGACTTTAAATTTTTTGAGTAAGTTTTTATTTCCTGTTTTATATTAGCTACTAGATGAATTTAAATTTTTCTTTAAATTTGAGCAAGTGCAATCCTGTGCAATACTTTGTATCAAATTCCAGCACATGGCAAATTTTAGTACATGATTTGCATGCCAGGTCAGCAGTTTTGTTTGTCTGAAATTAATATATTTGGGATTATCAGACATATAAAATAGCAGAACAATGAAAGGAATAAAAAATAGAACAGAAGACAGAAAATCTGCAAAGTTTCACAGGAAGATTTTATTATTTTAGCTTAAAAAGGCTAAGAGGGAAGGAAATGAGGAAGAAATCCACGTATCTCCTACCAAAATATTGATATCTATTTATTTGCCATATTTATTGTCACTTTATAGACAAAATAAGACATAAAATTCAGGAAAGGGACCTGAAATATGTTATCTAGCCTTTAAATTCTGCAAATGGAGAAAATGTATCTCACGTGGTTAACCAAAAAAAAAAAACAAAAAACAAAAAACACCCCCCCCCCATCTTTCAAATGTGCTTGCTCTTACTCCACTCTTACGCTAGCTAAAGGAAAGTAATCTAATATTATGACTAAAGCCATTACCATCTGTAACAGCACGATCTGGTGCTTTGATTTTGACTAATTGCTTTTCCCCCTTTGTATTTGGACTAATTGTTTTTCTTACCGTTTTATGAGCAAACCCTCATGTACACCAAAAGGATGCTGGGTAACCTTGCCTCCAAATTATTCCTGATTAGCCAATGAAGGCCTACACCTGGGCAGGGCCAAAGTCAGGTAGTTAGAGTGGAGGTTCTTGGGCTTGGAGGACAGAAGATCATGGGAGGGGAAGAGAGGAAAGAGAGACAGGAAAGGAGAAGGAAAAAAAGCAGAGTTGTAAAATAAAAATGTTTGCTCTGAGAACAGGTGATGGAGAGAAGCAGCCAAGAGGGAAAGCATGTGTGAGTATTTATGGGACTGTGGATGGGAAGTAGTGCAGATAGGAATGGTTAGAGCATGACAAGGGGTGTTGGACTATGGTGGGTAAAAAGAAGTTAGGGAGTTGGTTTCTGCCTAGTCCCAGTGTATAGGCACATTACAGTCTATTAAGTGTCTGTGTCTGTTATTGATACAAGGGGGAGGGGGTTAAAAATTAACCGCTTAATAATCTATGGATTAATATAAAGATTCATTTTTTTCTACAATAACCATCTCAGGTGACAATGTCGCTTGGTGGCCTTCTCATCTACACCTGAGTTCTCTGTGTGCTTTTTATTATTATTATTATTATTAACGCTGGTGATGGCTCGAGACTGTAAATCCTGAATGCTCTGAATGTTTTATAGGATTAAAAAAAAAAATTGGATGAGCCGATGGGGAATTGTTCAGTGGGTTAAAGTGCTCGCTGAGCAAACCTGAGGAGCTGCGTTCACTTGCCGGGAGCCGTGGACACTGGACATAGGAGTGAACGTCTGTGATCCCAGCCCTCCTGCAGGGAGACTCAGAACAGGTCCCTGTCCCCTCCCCCACAGCACGAGTGCCAACACTCATGCACAGGTAAATTCAGCGCTTTAAATGTCTACAAGAATCTAGTCTGTGTTTAGTGGTGGTGAGACTCAAGCGGCAGACACGCACCTCATCTGGAGAGCCGCTATGGATTTCTGCGCCCCCGACAATTTCCTAAGAACAGGGTGCTTTAGCCACTCCAAAAAACATTGCCAGGAGCCAGGTGTGGGAGGGAACACGTGCAATCCCAGCACCTCGAAGGCTGAGGCAGGAGGATTGAGAGTTGGAAGCCATCTTGGGAAACATAGGGTTTTTGTTATTGTTGTTGTTTTTTAAAGCATTTGTGATTCTGATGACAACCATATTCAGAAAAACAGAAGCAGCAAGGAACTGTGGATGCACTCTTGCGCCGTTTCGAATTTCTTCGTGCTATCTCTATGCAGAGATGAGCGTGAATGCTTGGGTATTTAGTGATGCAGACTTTTCTGTTGGGCTCCTACGTTTTCAACAGAGGGATTTTAACTAATTCAGGTAATTTTACAAAAGAACTATAGATTTGTAGGCAGCAACCATGAAGTCAGTAAGGGGCTCTGATGTGGTGCAGATGGGGTTTCTTAAGGTTAATAAGCTTGATCACCACCTGGAAGACAGCTCAACCTGACAGCTGGGTGCTGCTCCCACAGTTTCTGATTCTTGCCTCAGGAATTTGCATTTGAACAGACATCAGGACACTGCTGCCATCTGCTCTAGGTGCCTGCTGGCCACAAGTGTTCTCTGTAGCATAAACCCCTTCCGAGTACCATAGACGCCGTACACTTTGTCTCAGAAAGATGTAATACATGTAAATGTATTACCTATAATCTAAAGGAGACTACGGACGCTGAGACTCATGCATGGGTCCCAAGATGGAGACTTCTAGGCTACAGAAATTACAGGCTTTTATCCAGCTCACCCCAAACCACTGAGAAGCTTGCATAGCACTGGCTTGTGGGCTCCTCTATGCGTTGCACAGTCGTAGCCAAGTGAGCCGCTCGCTCTCCCGTTTACAAAGGGACTAAGTCAAGGCCTTCATTCACTCTGTGGAGCCTTCTCGTGTTATGATTTTTGTGGAAGACTTTTCATTTTTACTGGGAGACTCGTTCTTTCCACGGAATGGCTTATCTCTTGACCAATAGCTAATCACAGTTCTCCCTTTTGCTGCTTCCGGTTATGAGGCACATGGGGTTAGTTTTAATGGTCAAATTGGCACAAGTTAGAATTATCTGGGAAGAGTCTCACCTAGGGGCTGTCTGGATCAGACTGGCCTGTGGGCATGTTTGTGGAGGACTGTCTGTTGCTTTAAATTGATACTCGAACGGGATGACGCAGCCTGAAATTAGGTTGTATGTCATGTGCCCTTCTCCCTAACCCCCTACTCTTTCACACACCACCTCCCCACCTGGCTTTGGGTCTTGGACTACAGAAGACAGCAGGAAGTTAAGTAGTTAGTTTCTCTCTGCTCTTGACTGTAGATGTGATGCCTGACATTTTCAGTTCCTGATCCTCGACTTCCCTGCCAGGATGGACCATGTCCTTGTTTTCTGTTGCTCTGATAAACGCCGCTAGCAAAAAATAACTCAGGGAAGAGAGAGGGTTGGCTTACATTTCCAAGCAACAGTCCATCACTGAAGGAAGTCTGGGCAGGGACCTGGAGCAGAAACCGTGGAGGAAGCCGCACAGTGGCCTGCTTGCTGACTCAGTGCTCAGCCATTGTAGGCTGGGCCCTCCTGCCTCAGTTATCGGAATGCCTCACACACATGCTCAGTGGCCAACCTGAGACGGACAAATTCCTCAACTGAGGGCCCTGCCTCCATTTCCCAGGTGACTCTGTGCCAGGCAGGAAATAAAAATCAACCAGCGGAGACTGTACCTAGGATTATAAAAAGAATATTTTTTTCCCTAGGCTGCCTTTTGTCAGGGTGTTTTTACCACAGCAGAAATGAAACTAGAAAAACTTGGGAGACAAATTCAGTACTGTGACTTAGTAAACATCTGGGGCCTTTCCACCTATGTGCTCTCTACATCAACCTTTAATTCCCCATGCAATCTGCGTTTTACTTCCTGGGACATCATATTTGATTTTAGCTACTTTATCTTCTTCCTCTGTTGACAAATGTTCATACGCGGAACATTCTCAAGTTTTATTATTTTTTAATAAATTATTACTTTTTATTTTATGTGCATTGGTGTTTTGATTGCAGGTATGTCTGTGTGAGGGTGTTGGATCCTCTAGAACTGGAGTTACAGACGTTAACTGCCAGGTAGGTGCTGGGAATTGAACCAAGGTCCTCTGGAAGAGCAGATAGTGCTCTTAACCACTGAGCCATCTCTCTAAACCCAAGAGTTTGTTTGTTTGTTTGTTTTTGTTTCTGTTTTAATTTGGTCTTACTACATTGACCGGGCCTCACCTCAAGTTCTTGCTTCTTCTGCCTAAGCCATCCGTGTGCTAAGATGCTCAGCCATGCGTCACCACACCTGGCCTGCTCAGAAGTTTGACTTGTTCCTGCCCATGGCACAGTCAGCACTAGAGAAAGCCTCCTTTTTCTCTCAGAGCTGCCTCCGACACACCCCTGAGTCTCAGCATCAGAGCAGAGAAACAAATCTACTTGAGGCACCGTAAATCTTTTCAGAACCAGAAAGTGTTTGAACACCCAAGCTTGTGACTCATTTTTACAGAAACAAGTAGACGCTGTCATATCACATTTTAATCTCAACCTCGTGAGGCAGCTGTTGGCGTCTCTGTAAAGATGGTCTGTCAGATTCTAGTGGATAATAAAGGGAGAATTGAAAATAAGGCCCAGCCCTGACTCAACCAATGTCATATAGGGTACCTTACTGTGTATACAGTGGAGCCACTTGCCTATTCTTTTATTTTAATTGATGAAGTTATTAGAAGTGGTCAGGTGCCTTCCAGTGTACAAGTTGGTGCTTATATGAGTGAGTCATTGATTTATACTCTCATTTTGAAGAAAAGGAGCACTATAGAGAGGCGAGTAATAGGAGAGAAGAGAGAAGCAGGAAAGGTTCCTAGAGGAGCAGTGAACAACTGGTGAGCTTGTTTGGGGATAGGGGCAGCGAGGGAGGGGCTGCCAGGACGGGATCTGATGAGGCAATACCCACACGGCCTTACAGAGTTAGCTATGGTTTAGTCTGGTGATGGGGCCAAAAAGTGTTTCAGGTGGGCGGAGCTTCAAGAGCAAAAGCACAGACTCGGGGTATGTAAATCACTGTTTCCATAACTACCCATAAAGCATCAAAACATGGTCTGGGAAAATGGCTTGATGCTTAAGAGCATGGACTGCTCCTGCAGTAAACCTAAGTCCCAGAGCCCACAGGCTCACACTTGCCTCTAGCTCCAGCCTTGCTTGGGGGATTCAACACCCTCTTCTGGCCTTAGGCATCTGTATTCATATGCATAGATACCCCCCTCCCCGAAACACTATTAAAAATAAAATAAATGTTTTTATTTTAAAGTGTGAAAGCTTTCCTTGAATTTAAGTTTCCTGAAAAACTGTCCCAGGAAACAACTAATATCCTTACCTTAATATTGATTATGATATCGGGTTGCATTTCTAAATTTTTAATGAATTCTATTTGCTTGAAAGTGTTCGTGGAATCTAGTGAGAGTGACGGTATTTCAGTGATGATATAACCTGTAAAATATAAGTTAACAACTTGTAATATTATCACTATGTGGGAGAATGACTTTATTATAATTACTTTATAAAATATTACACTGCTAATAAGGAGTAAGTCCATTCATAAAACTATCTGCCACAAATTGTAAATTAATAGTTATTGCCACATGAAGTGAAGCTATGAATAATGATTTTCTGATTTAAAAAAAATTACCAAGCGAGGAGGAAACATCTTTAAAAATTCCAAGTTGGAGGCAGGCAAGATGGCTCAAGGGCTGAAGATACTTGTCACGAGCCTAGTGACCCGAGATCAGGCCCCAACATTCATGTGATAAAGGAGCGAACAAACTCCCTCAAGCTGTCCTCTGACCTCTGCATGTGTGTGCTTCCCCCTACCCATAATAATAAGTAAATGTTTTCAATTCTTTTTAAAAAAATCTAAGTCAGTTCTTTTTAGACAAGACACTTATGGAAAAAAAAAATTCCATGCTAATACTTCTTTTAACTCAGGTTAGAAGTGGTCATATGACCTTTTATGGGATCTATTATTTTATCCTTAAATTAGTATCTAATATGCATGTTGGATACATGCCTATTGTATCTATGTCTGTTATAGAGAGTGATGAAACACCCATGTACTCTCTGTGTAGCTTAAGGGACAGAACACAGTATGATTTGGGCTTAGAACATTTATTGGCTGGCATTCCCACACAGAAGTCTAACTCTTCTCAGAGAAATGTGGGGACCATTGTCATATGGACTTCCTTAATATATTTTTAAATTATGTCACTTGCTTGCCCAAGAAACTTTTCTCTTATTAGTAAAAATACGTCTCAATTCCTCAGCTGGAAATTTGTCTTAATTAGGTTTTTTTGTTTGTTTGTTTGGTTGGTTTTTATTTGTTGGTTTGTTTGCTTGCTTGCTATTAAGTGTCGCCATGGCCACTGCAAGTCTTGTAAGGGAAAACATTTAACTGGGGCAGGCTTACAGTTCAGAGGTTTAGTCCGTTATCATCATGGTGGGAAACATGGCGACCTCCAGGCAGGCGGGGAGCTGAGAGTTCCACATCTTGACACACAGGCAGCAGGAGGAGACTGTGTGCCACATTGGGTGAGCATAGGAGAACTCAAAGCCCGCCCCTACGGTGACACACTTCCTCCAACAGAATCATACCTCCTAATAATGCCATTCCCTATAGGCCAAGCACTGAAACGCATGAGTCGGGGGGGGGGGGGGGGGGAACATACCTATTCAAACCACCACAGCCTTCAATACATTTTTCTGCTATTTTTATTTATTTTATTTTATTTAGAAAACTTTTATAAAAAGTAAATTAAGTGACATAGGTCCTTCCAAGACAAATGATACTATCTGTTGCTTTTCTCATCATTTGCTTTGATACAGTGTATCTGTGCCGTATTTCATGTTGAATCCCTGTATTCTTGTGTAGCTTTTTAGATTTTGGTCCGGAGAAGTGAACCCAGGCAGGCCTACGACTGTGCTAGGCAAGTGTTCTACCACCCAACCAGGTTTTCAGCCCCAACTCCAGCACCTTAACAGTTATAAACCCTTAACTCTCTTCTGGGATGTCCTTCTCCCAAGGGTGTGTTTATGCTGGGCGAGCGGGAGAGATGTGGGGTTTCAGGGGAAAACAGCTTCAGCTCAGCTGGGGCTGTGGGATTCCGGAGTCAGAGCAGCAGGGGGAGGAGGATGCAGACGCACGCGCACACCTACCGAAGTGAGAGACTTCTGGAGACTTGAGCTTCTCCAGGATCAGCTTGACGATAAGCTCGTCCGGGATGCTCTGACCGCTCAGCAGCAGCGACTGCAGCTACAACAAGCACAGATAGATGCTGGACATTACCGCAGCTCTCTACCCGGGACGTGCAATTGGGGGGGTCATTGTAGTAACTGTGAAATGCTAGATTTATTTGCTCACCATTGTTCCCGTTTCAGTGTCCGCGGCAATGTGTTCCTCCAGAATCGAGAGAGCTAAAACATGAGTTCAAAAATGTGAGTGCGGGGTGACACAGTAAGAAACGTTCTCTAAAGGTTTGGTAACTGGTAGCAGAGATGAATGGGGGGGGGGGCGCATCACCTGAGACAGAGGACTTAAGAGAAGACCTGAGGTGCGTCACAGCCCCAGACGCCAGGAATTTATAGAAACCTTGTTATTCTTTAAGACTTCCCAGGCTTTTTAATTTAAAAGGGGTGGGGGGCGGGGCTGGAGAGGTGGCCCCTGACAGAGATGATTGGTTTGGTAGAGGACCTACAGGGCTGGCACAGAGCCCTCTGTTACTCCAGGTCTGGAGGATGCCAGCCCTCTTCTGGCCTCCGTGGGCACCAGGCACACACGTGCTGCACACCCATATCTGAAGGCAAAACACCCTAACCCACGAAACAAGAAATAACTTTTTTTTTTTTTTAAGAAGAACATTTCAGAGTTCCATATGGGTGTGCTCTGCGCTACCATGTGTGGAGCAGACTCCACACACATACAAAAAATTGTGGCATCTCACATCTCACTTTTACTGAGAGCACTCGGAATACCCATTTCATAGCATCCTTGCCAACAGTTCTTTTGGTGAGTTTAATGATTCATCACCAACTTGTTAGGCAAATATGGATCAGTGTTAGTTTTTAAAAATGCCAAGAGATTCAGCTTTTTTTTTTTTTTTAAGATTTACTTATTTATTATCTACACAATATTCTGTCTGCATGTACACCTGCACGCCAGAAGAGGGCACCAGATCTCATTACAGATGGTTGTGAGCCACCATGTGGTTGCTGGGAATTGAACTCAGGACCTCTGGAAGAACAGACAGTGCTCTTAACCTCTGAGCCATCTCTCCAGCCCTCAGCTTTTCTTATCTTTCTTAGATTCTAGTTTTATGAGTGTTGTCTGTGTACATGTACGCGTGCACTCTGTGTATGTGTGTGTGTATATGGGCACTGCGTATGTATGCATTTGTGTGTGTGTGTATACACATGTGGACATGTGAGCACATGCATGTGAAAGCTGGAGGTCAGTCTCGGGTCTCACTCCTCAGGAGCTATCCGCTTTGCAGGCTCTGGGGCTCACCTGCCAGTTAGGCTAGGCTGGCTGGCCGGGGAGCTCCAGGGATCCTCCGGTCTCTGCCTGTCCAGCACAGGGTTTGCAAGCATGTGCCACCACACCTGGCTTGCTGTTTACATGGATGCTGAAGGTGGAGCTCAGGTCCCCATGCTTGTGTGACCGTGCCCTCTCAGTCCCTTCTGTTATGAATTTCCTGTTCATGCTTTCCTTACTTTTCTATTAGGAAATAAACAGCTTTACTGACTAGAAGGACGTGTTTGTGTTGGTGTGTGTGTGTGTGTGTGTGCCTCAGCCTGTTGTCTTACATACCACAGAGAACTTAAGGAAACTTATAAATAAAAAATACACTCTTTTCCAAGAAAGGTCCTAAAGTTCTGGGGAATTCTTTTAAAAAAGAGCTTCGGTTCTTTCTTTTTTCATCTCTAAGGAGAAGATGCTCTCTCACACACACATAAACAGTTCTGATGGAAACAGAAGCTTAGAGGAAAGGTGGAGCCAAAGACATTGGCTAAACATGACTGTGTTGATGCTATTAGAAAGTTGGTAAGAATCGTGTGGACAGATGTGTGATGAGGGAACATGACAGAACATTAATTATAGAATCTTAGCTGGGTGGTTATTATGGAATCTTATTTTGTGAATCTTTGAAATTTTTCATACTAAAATATTGAAAAGAATTAAATTTACCTTCAACACGAATACATTTCCAAATCTGTGCTATGTTACGGGCTAATGTTGTCTTCCCACACCCCTTTAAAAGAGAAACGCTATTTAAAATACAACAAAACATCCATTTCATGGGTAAGCAGAAGCAACAATTTGAAGAATTCTACCGATGGTTATCATTACATAAATGTTTGCCCTATAAAACGAAGAGGGCCCCAGCATATTTAGAACTTCATTTCCTCCACTGGTTCTTGTGTATCTCACACATCCGGGGCTTATTCGCATAGACTATCACTTGAGGAAGTTGGGAATCAGGAAGCTGTACCATCAGGATGTGGAAAAAAATACGTAATTCCAATTATAAATCACTATAAAATATATTGAGATTTGTCATTTCATTTTCTTTCTACAGGAAAATGGAAACTTTGGTGACTTCCATTGAATAATTTTCTTTCTTTCCTCTTTTTGCAGTACTGGGGTTCAACATTCTGAGCCTACGTAGGTGAGAACCTTTTACGGAGCGCTATCATTGGACCTGCATTTACACCTTATTCTGAGACGGAGCCTCAGTAAGCGGCACAGGCTGGCCTAGAACTCACTCTGCAGCCAGAGTAAGCTTTAAGGTTGTGATCCTTCTGCCTCAGCTTCCTAAGCCTCAGCTCATTTATAGTTAAGAGCCGGTAAACCTCGTAACTGATGTCTTTGCAGATCATTGTATTTCAAAGCTAAAGGGCCGTTCTTGTGAAGTGGTATTTGCATCTGCATGTTGTCAGCGATGGTGTTTAAAGCCATGTTTTTAGAAACAAAATGAGAATTGTTGGAAATACTTCTTGGTGCATGTCCTGTGGTTCCTATCAGAAATTAAGGTGAAGATGGGTCTCCCTTAGCCACCACTGCTCTGGAAGCTTCCCAACTGAACAGCCCAGTCCTCTAATGACCAACTAGCTCTGTGGCTGAAAGCAAAACTCACATGGCGGTCCTGCCCACAGCAGCCTAGAAGCCAAGAACCTTGCAACAGCTCCTCTGTATTCTTCCCATTGTGTAGGAAGACAATAATTATTCTCTAATATTCTACATGCCCACTGCCCCTCAGCACCTTCCAGTGTTTCAGACACCCCTGTTCATCTCATATATCTAAGAGCCTCACAACAAGGTTCTAAGCAGATCTTATATTCAAATAAAATATGAAATAACCTTAGGTATCAAACCAGGAACAATCACTATGAAACAGAGTTTTGATAAGTTTTTCCTTAAATTTTAAAACAAGTTTTTCTTATAATATTTAAACAAACATAAACACTTTCTAGGGCCTTTTGTAGTGCACAGCATAAGAAGAAAGATAGTTGTTGGTATAATGTTCTTGTGGAATGTATACAATTTACCTTTGTTCATTCAAATGCTGACTTCTCTACCCCACTATCTGGTTTCAATCTAGACATTGTATCAAAATACAATGATGCTTATTCTAAGCATCACCTGTCTCAAGTTTGTGGAAACATGCTTCCATTTGTTCTCTGTATCATCAATAAAACAACCAGCCAATGCTGAGCAATGGAGAGAATAGGGTGGAACATCCTGGTCCAGAGGGGAGGAGAAAGAAGCAAGTGGGAGGAGTTAGGGAGGAGAGATTGGCAGGAGAGGACATGGAAACACCAGGAGAGATGAACTGGCCCTAAGATATGACTAAAAGCAAGTATAACGTGGGAAATCTGAATGGGAGGAAATTATGTGGGCTTGGAGGTTTAGAATGGGGTAATCATTGCCTAGCGTTGTGCTCTAGGTTAAGTAAATAAATCCTAGTCTCTGTGTGATGATTTGGGTATACAGCTGGTTTAGGAATAACCACTGTTTAACTAAAAGATAAGTCAATAATAAATATTAATTATCAACAACAAATAGTCATGAACCTAAAACCAATACTATATCAGAGTTGAAGTGATGTTATATATAAAAAATCTATCAGACACTAAAAAAAAAATGTGACCATGTTTTGTGGTTTTCATTCTTATATGGTAATGTAAGATTGCGATTTTAAAATTAAAATACTATACCGCATGTTAGAAGAGACAACTTACTGGTTTTCCAAATACAAGAAAGCAAACAGGTTTGGACAATAAAAAGTTTCTCTCGGTTTCATCTTCATTAAAGATATCTGTGAAAGGTGGTTCTTCTGTTTTCTCTTTAAAAGCCATAATATAAAACACTACAATAAAAAAAAAAAAAAAGCAAAACTGAAGGGCTTATACTGTTAGAACGGGAAGGTAGGGCCGCCATGAATTTACTTTGCCCAGGAACAATTCCATATCATCGAACATTTGAGAGAAGAACAGCACATCACCAAAGCTTTTAAAAGATAGGTCAACATGTCCAAAAGACCAAATGAAAAACACATGTTGTAATACTTATTAAATTTCTACAAGGCAGACCTTTAAATCATTTTTGGAAAGTTTGAACTTTTTCTAGTTTGAACTGTTAAGTAGATTTTTGGGCACAGCTTTCTACTTTAAACAATATGTCTGTAACAGCAGATTTTAATTTATGCTGCTTTTGTTGGAATGAATTAGAAATAAATTGGGTTAGTTAGTTTTTGGATTTGTTTGTTTTTGTACAAAGACCATATCTTATTTTCAAGCACTTATAAATTGCTTACATATTTGAACCAGTAAACTGTTTACCCATATAATGAATGTATTATATAAATAATAAAAATAATAGAAATAATTTTCTTGACTACAATGAAATAATTATGAATGTATTTAACGTCCCAATTCTTTTTTATTTTTTAATATAATTTTCTATTTATTACAATTTATTCACTTTGTAGCCCAGCTGTAGCCCCCTCCCTCATTTCCTCCTAATCCCACACTCCTTCCCTCCCTCATCTCCTCCCATGCCCCTTCCCCAGCCCCCTGACAATAGACCCTCCCCTTCCACCTGACCCTAGCCAATCAGGTCTCATCAGGACTGTCTTTCATAGTCTTCTTCTGTGGTCTAGTCAGGCTGCTCCCCTCTCAGGGGGAGGTGATCAAAGAGCCGGCCACTGAGTTCATGTAAGAGACTGTCCCTGCTCCCCTTATTAGGGTGTCCATTTGGAGACTGAGTTGCTATGGGCTACCTCTGTGCAGGGGGTCTAGGTTATCTCCATGAATGATCCTTGGTTGGAGTATCAGCCTCAGAATTGACCCCTAGGCCCAGAATTTTTGGTTCTGCTGCTCTCCTTGTGGAGCTCTAGACCCTTCCGTGAGTCTTTCTATCTCCCTTTCTTTCATAAGATTGCCTGCAATCTGCCTAAAGTTTGGCTATGAGTCTCAGCTTAGTATCCTACTGGGTAGAGTCTTTCAGAGGCCCTCTGTGGTAGGCTCCTCTCTTGTTCTTTATTTTCACCTTCTTCCAATATCTATTTGCCTTTCTGAATGAAGATTAAGGATCATACCCAAGCTCCTTCTTCTTGTTTAGCTTTTTTAGGTGTACAGATCTTAGTATGATTATCCTATATTATGTCTAATATCCACTTATAAGTGAGTATATACCATGTGTGTCTTTCTGCTTCTGGGATAGCTCACTCAGGATGATCTTTTCTAGTTCCCACCATTTGCCTGTAAATTTTATGGTTCCCTCTTCCTTGTTTTTAATTGCTGAGTAGTATTCCATTGTGTAAAGAACTCAAGAAGTTAAAAAGCAACAGATCAAGTAATCCAATTAAAAAATGGGGTACAGAGATAGAGAATTCTCAATAGAGGAATATCAAATGTCAGAAAAACACTTAAAAGAAATGCTCAACATCCTTACTCATCAGAGAAATGCAAATCAAAACGACCCTGAGATTTCACCTTACACCCATCAGAATGGCTAAGATCAAGAACTCAAGTGACAACACATGCTGGAGAGGTTGTGGAGAAAGGGGAACCCTTCTCCACTGCTGGTGGGAATGTAAACTTGTACAACCACTTTGGAAATCACTTTGGCACTTTATCAGACAATTAGGAATAGTGATACCTCAAGATCCAGCTATACCACTCCTAGGCATATATTCAAAAGATGCTCAAGTACACAACAAGGACATTTGCTCAACCATGTTCATAGCAGCTTTATTCGTAATAGCTAGAATCTGGAAACAGAAATTGTGGTATATTTACACAATGGAATACTACTCAGCAATTAAAGTCCCAATTCTTGAGAACTATAACTCTATCTATCTATCTATCTATCTATCTATCTATCTATCTATCTATCTATCTCTATCTCTATCTATCTACCTATCTATCTATCTACTTTCACACATTAATACACACAAAATTTAAAAATTATAAAATGTTAAATTCATGATTAGCACTATTAGTGTAAATTTAAAAAGAATAAGAGAATTCAAAGATGTAAGCAACAGAAATAAAATAAAATATTAGAAATAAATTCTAACAGATTAGTTTGAAAAGGAAAACTTTAACAGACTGGATTTTTGGTAGGCATTTGACAGACTGGATTTTTGGTAGGCATTTCTTCAAATGATAAGCAAGTCCTGACTCTCTTCCTGGACCAGTGTTTCCCTGGGAGAAGATGATGCCTTCTCTCAGTTATTGCTCTAGAAACAATGTCTAGATAATGTGAGGGCAAACACTTTTGAGAGACACATTCACCTAGGTTGACCAGATTAGAGATTGTGGCTGCTTCAGCCCTTTGCCATAACTCATGGCTTAACATTCAGGTAATAACACCCACAGATTGAATTCGCTGCGGGTAAGGTTCCTAAAAGCTTGGATGAAGCAGAAACCCACAGTAACTGAAGTGCTGGAAACACTTCTGCAAATGATTGGAGGAAGGTATGGAAGGTTCCCAGAACTGTTAAGTTAGAGATAAATTATTGAGGCCAGAGAATTCGTCAATGTGCTATGCTCTCTGGAATGGCAAGGGATCCTCCTTCACGAAGTCCATATGAACGGAACACGTATGGAGACACTGGCCTCAATAAGGAGGTCCATGTAGCCATGTCCTTTGTAGCCCAGGGCTGAGGGTAGAGGTAAGGCTATCTTGGTTCTAGGTTCCCATGAGTCCCGGGAGATGAATGACTTTGATAGAGCAGAGGCCGTTTATGAACAAAAATTCAAACCGGGAAGCCATCTTACGGTTTTATTGCTGTGGAGAGACATTATGACCACGGCAACTTAAAAAGAAAAAAAAAACAAACAACTTTTTATTGATTCTTTGTGAACTTCACATCATGCACCCCAATTCCACTCATCTCTCTGCCTCTCTATATTGGCCCTCCACCCTTGCAACCTCCCTCTCAGAACAAAACAAGACAAAACAAAATCCGTCTCGCCGTGAAGCTGTGGTTTGCCACAGTTTGTCACACCCGGTACCCTTTTGCCCAGGCAGCTTTAACTTGAAAATGCTCACTGCAATGAGTCATTGGTCAGCTTTGAGGCCTCTGGCTTCTGCTGCACTATCAATACTGGATCCTCAATGGGGCTCCTCTTGGATACCCTCTTGTTGCCCTGTGTCATGAGGATCCTGCAGCTTTGGAGCTGCAGGACTGGCCCCTTTACCCGCTCCAGCAGCTCACAGATGGGGCGAATGTCGGGGGCGGGCCAACTCAAAGCCCTAGATCTGGGCCCAGGTGCAATGCCAGCTCTCCTGCTCTGCCCAGGTGAGGAGCATGGCCAACTCTCCTGCCTGCAACAGCTGGCAAGGAGCGGGACCAGCTCTCCTGCTCTCCTGCCCTTGGGGCTGGCTCACACACATCCATATCAGCAGGGCCAGCTCTGCCTCATGCAAGGCTCACAGTGATCTGCAGCAGTGTTCGGAACATGGTGGCATTCCTAAAGCTGAGGCTCAGGAGCGGGCAGTGTTAAGTGCTGGCTGACATATGTCTAAAAGAGAAAAGGAGCAACTGAACCACATGTTGATTTGTTGGCAGTCCCAGGGGTACGTCGAGTCCTGCTTCCAGCCAAGGAGCTAATTCACTGAGGAGGAAGCTAGAAGTCCTTAAGAAGGAACTGGGTGACACTCAAGTATTAACACTGGTGATGCTTCAGTTCTTTTCTGAGAGACGCTTGTAACCATCAACAGGAGAAGTGTGGGAACTGACATGTCTTTCAAGGACTGTTGAGAGTTGAGTAAGTGCCGTGGCAGCCCATTGAGGGATACCATGGAGAACTGGGATAGAGTCTAAGCAGGTCTGGAAGGGCAAAAAAATCAGGCTCATAAATATGTAGTCCCCACTCTGGGCCCTGTCCTCTATGTCTTTTAGGTCAAAACTCAGAGTTCCCTGGGAACAGTCGACGGAGAAAGAAAAACATCACAAGAGATGTTGATGCAAGCTGTCAACAGAAACTGTCTAGATGTTAGTTCCGTTTGCAGGAAGCTCCCTGATAAATAGCGACTGAGGGAAATCTTCCTGCAGGCAGGGATTAGACTTCCTCAAACTGGTGGGCGGTTCTGAATGGCTTCATCAGGGGCCTACAGGAGCAAGGTCTGAAGAGGAAAAGAACACTCAAATAGCCCACGACTGGACTTATAAAGAGTTTGGCAGATGCATTTAAAATGAGCTCTTACCAGCCACGCATTCTTGTACAACCCCTTCCCTTGAATGCAAGTGAGATCTGTGGCTTGCTTTTCATGGTTATGTTATATTATGTTATGCTATGTTATGTCATGCCATGCCATGCCATGCTATGTTATATTATATTAAAATTGACTTCATCTTAGCAGTTGGAGAGAGACTTCTTGTGGGCTCAGAAGGAAGCTGTTGTGTTGTGAGAGGACCATGCAGTAAGGAACAGTGTCTGGCCTCTGGAGTGGGCAGCAGGTAGCCAACAGTTAAAGAGAAGAGAAGAGGAACCTCAGTCCTATTAACAGAGATGAATTTTCTCGGTGATGGATCGGATCCTTTCCCAGTTGCGTATCCAATTGAAAGCATGTTTCGGTCAACACCGGACTGCAGAGAACCCAGCTGACTTGTGCCAGGAGACTGTGAGCTAACAAATGTTTTAAGATGTTAAATTTGTAGCATTTTGTTATGCGGCGTGGAAAACCAGTCCCATTCACAAACCATACACCGCACAAACAGGTGAGCACGATGGCTACCCAGCAGGTGCCAGCCAGTCTCTCCTTGCTCCTCTTAGTCCCACGGGTTCGTAAATGGAAACACTATGGTGGCAGGGCTGAAGTGAGAGAGACTGTGCCGTGACTTAATACGGCTCTTTCACGTTACTCATAACAGACGTTCCACGTCTCCACAGCAAAGTGAGGCTAAGACTTTAATATGATACAGTCTCTCGAGGAGCCAGAACTCCCAGCATTGACAGACTGAGTAGACAGGGCCTCTTACCCCTGTGAGGGACCGGTGACATGGGACTGGGGTCAGAGGGTGAGTTTGCCTTCCCCATCTGTAGGCTTGTCTGATTTATCATCACGAATCTCCCATAATATTCCCTTGGGCAAATGGAAGGAGCTAGAAAAGATCATCCTGAGTGAGGTAACCCAGACCCAGAAAGACTTGGTATGTAATAAGGACACATTAGCCATAAAGTACAAGATAAACATGCTAAAATCCACAGACCCGAAGAAGCCAAGGAGGGCCCAAGGGAGAATGCTTGAATCACACTCAGAAGAGGAAATAAAATAGACATCACATCCAAAGTAGATGGTGGGAGGGAAATGGGTGGGAGAGGGGATGGGGAAAGGGTAGAGTGGGGGTGAGGATCAGGAGTGGGGAGAAGGGTGGGGGGAGGACCCAGAGAGAGAATGGAAATCAGTGAGAAGGCATCTCTGGGACAGGGGAGACTCTCAGAAGTCTATGGGGGTGACCCTAGCTGAAACTTTCTAGCAGTGGGGGTTAAGGAGCCTGATGTCACACTTCCTCTAGCCAGGGGGGACTGCCAACCCACCCATAAAACCTTCCACCCAAAATTTGTCTTGCCTACAGGAAGTGTAGGGATTAAGGTGGAGCAGAGGCTGAGGGAATGGCAAATCCATGACTGTCCCGACTTGAGAACCATCCCATGGGAGAGAGCCAGCCCCTGTCCCTGTTAATGGTGCTCTGCTGACAGGAGCCTAGCATAACTGTCTTCTGAGAGGCTTTATCCAGCAGCTGATGGAAACAGAGGCAGAGACCCACAGCCAAACATTAGGCAGAGCTTGGGGAGTTGTGTGGAAGAATGGGAGGAAGGGTCGAGGTCAAGGACACCATGAGGAGACCTACAGGGCAAACTCACCTGTGCCCTGTGCCCGTGGCGGACCTAGACCCCCTACACTTATGCAGCAGATGTGCGGCTTGGTCTTCATGGGGGCCCCCTAACAATGGGAGCAGGGGCTGTCTCTGACTCTGTTCTCTGCCTTTGGATCCCTTTCCCCTAGCTGGGCTGCCTTGCCAGGCCTAGGTGGAGAGGATGAGCTTAGTCCTGCTGGGGCTTGACGTGCCAGGGTAGGTTGGTACCCCTTTGGGGGCTTCCCCTTCTCTGAGAAGAGAAGGGGGATAGGGAAGGAGGTGTGAGGGCAGGACTAGGAGGAGAGTAGGGAGGGGGCTGCGATCAGGCTGTAAAGTGATGAAATAAATAAATTTTTAAAAAGGAAAGAAAAAAAATGTTGCCTTGGACCAAAGGATCCCCTCTACAGTAAAGTAAATATTGCAAGTGTGGGATCGACAGTCTCTGCCACACGCAAGCTTGCCGACAAGTTGCTGCTGTATTAGACAGGCCTCTCAGAGGTGCGGGTGTGCACGGTTTACTGTGGTGTGGGATAGAGACAGCCTTACTACAACACGAGAGATGTGCTTGGAGCCGGGTGAGGGCAGGGGAAACGGTCCTCATCCCCATGGCCCTGTGAGTGACTTGGGCAATTCTGTGATTGATTTGGGCAGTTTCTCTCAATTTTAGGCTCTCTCTGGTGGTGGTGGACTGGGTTTGGTTGATAAGAGAGATGGTTGTGTCAGAGTTAAGAGGTAAGAGATGGTTGTAAGCAGTTAAGGTTTGACAAAACTGAACCGACTGCCACCGATTGGTCATTTTTGGCTCCAAAAGCCTCTGAGGAGTCACTGCCCTGGTGGGGAGGGAGGTTTGCTTTTATATAGTTATTTATATAGGGATTGGAAGGGTAATCTCGAGCGCGTGATTCTCTGGGATAGGTATTCATGCTATGACGCAGGAACGAAAGCTGGTTGCCTGCACGACAAGTAACTTAGACTCCTGTTAGTTCTGGCCAAGAGCAAGGAAAACCTAGAATGAGTGGCAGAGAGGGAGATGATGAGTGATCAGTTTCAGAGCCAGGGTTCACTACAGCAGGGAATTCTGCAGCCGAACCCATCACCATCCTTTCTGCCAATCCTTCTCTCTCAGAAACTGGGACTAGTTAGTACCCTCAAGGACTGGTGATGGGGGTGCCGAGACAGCGATGCTGGGAGCTTGGGTGTGAGTGCTTTGAAGGGTGGAAGGCAGCATCTTCTAATGCATGTCGTGTGCAACCTTTCTAGGTCGCTACCCGACTTCTGGATATCAGCACGTGGGGCTCCGTCTGTGAATGCCCTCAGCTGCTATGCTCTCTCTGAGCACAGACAAACTGGAAGTGCCAAGACGTCAGTGCTCCGACATAGCAGACGTCAACCAGAGATTGGTCAGAGTTTGTGAACACACACCATGCTCCTGTGCCCCCGAAGGGCATAGTTCCAAGATACGTACTCCTTATTCCCTAGTGAATTTAGCTGACCAAATCCCTTTCCTTCCTAGCTACTGTTTCCTGGGGTTTCCCCTTACATAAACAACTTGGCACTTTTTTTTTTTTTTTAAATAAGTTCTGCCTCTGGGTGAGGTAAAGTAAGAATGTTCTCAGACGGACGTGCTTAATTGTAGCATGAAATAATAATTGAAAACAATATTTGAAAAATCAGACTTAGGTATTTTTTAAAAAGCGACTTTCCTAAGCCAAAACATTCAGAAAATGTTTAGTTTATATTAGGAAGAGTTGATTTTCATTATGGTATGGAAAAGTTAGAAGGTGCAATTCAAGATGGATTGCTGGGACTTGCTAACTGACATCTGGTTTACACATACACACACACACACACACACACCACATCACACTCACACACAAGACATACACACACACCACATGCAAAATACACACTCAAATGCATACTCAAGTGCAGACACATGCACCACACACACACACACACACACACACACACCACACAAAACACATACACACTCATACAAAACACATCACACTCACACATAACACATTCGTACTCACACATACAGCACACGCAACACACCGACACATACATCACACACACACCACACGAAATACACACATTCATACTCACGCACATACAGCACACATACATACACCACACACACTCACACACACACTGCACACACAAAACACACACACAGCCGCATAATATGCCAGAATTGTCACTCCTGATGTCTTTCTAGTTTCTCTGTAAGAAGATGTATCAAACTATGAAACAGAACTAATATAAGTACCCAAATACTTTAGAAACCTTGTAATGCTCCAACTTCGAATCTATGGCAACCTTAACTATATCACGTTCAGCTCTGTGTTTGCGTTTTTAAAGGTTTATTACCCTTCTGGCTTACGAGACCCCTCCAGAGGTGAATGCCGGGAAACCTAGCACTCCCAGCCTAGGCTAGCTCAGCCCCCACTGTGTTACACTCGGAAGCAGGGACATAAACACCTTACCTGAAGGGAGAACCGGTTTTGAAAAGCTGATTTATGAAGCGATCGTGGTTTAGCTTTGCAAGGACAATAACTGGTATTTGGGGTCCCCGCAGGAAACGGACTTCCCTGCAACGGAAAGTGCATCCAGACGGTGGGCCACGGCCCTCCTGCCTCTGCTTACCTGGACCGCAGCTACCTCCGGAGGCTGCGGGTAGCTGTTGGGCGGTTGCCCTGGAAACCCGTGGGCGGTGTGCAGGGCCTTGGAGGGCGGGGCGCCGGGAGGTGGCGCTGTAATTGGAGCGTTCTTAAATGTGTGCTTTTGTGTTCATAGTTATGACACCTTTCCCACTGGGTGGAGGAGCAGAGCGAGGGCAGACGCTGTCTACTGACGCCCGGAGAGCAAACTGGAAAGCCTTAACCTAGAACCGGCTCCAGCAGCTGCGCGCTCGCCTACACCTTAGCATTCACAGACGGTTAGCCTTGCACATAGAGTGTGCAAAGACCGAAGGCGCCACACTTAAGCAGTTAAGAAAGAGCTGTGGACCACACAGCCACAATAGGAACTTCATTGACTCCCACGGGGATAAACAGGCGACAAAAGAGGGGAAAACAATCGCAGGCCTTCAGGAGAGGACCACCAGCTTACGGGTTTCAGGAAAACAAGGAGTACACAGCAAGAAACAGACTAATCGCAGCAGGGAGATGCCACTTCTAAAGGGGAACCCAACTGCCTGACCTCTTTTCCTCAAGGGTCAAATAAACTAGATTTTTTTTTTTTTTGAGCCTGCCCTAAACAAAGATGGTGCCCTTAGCGTCCACCCTCAGCGATGCCGAAATCCTGTAGCCCCGCCCCTCCTCCGGGCGGGGCTTGCTGGAAGGCGGGGCTCTGGGAATCCGGAAGCACCCGGCGATCGCGCGCTGCTGAAGGTTTAGACCTTGTGTATCTCAGCTGGGTCTGGTGTGCTGGGTGCGCAGTCTCCTGTCTTCGTCTCGCGCGGCTGTCACGACCTGGGCGGCGGCCTGGTGCCCTGTAGGAGGGCCGCCCTTGGCTGGAGCCATGCCCACGGCCGCTGCGCCCATCATCAGCTCGGTCCAGAAGCTGGTGCTGTACGAGACCAGAGCCGTGAGTATCCGTCCGCAGGGGCGGGACGGGGCGGGAGGACAGTGCTGCTGGGGGTCGGGGGACGCTGTGGGGTCGCCGAGGCAGCACCCTGCACTCCCCCCGTTCCCTCCCAGCTCCGCAGCAACGTGGAACAGCCTCCGGAGGAAGCTCGCCCGCCAGGGCCGTGCAGCCAGGGACTGGTGGGTTTGCAAGTCTGTCTTGCTTAGGAGCCTTCCTTGGCTGGAAGATGTGCGTGCAGACAGGTGCTTGTGGCACTCAGGCAGGAACTGCGCACAGCTTCTGAACGAAATACTTGATTCTTTTCCGCTTTCGCATCATCTGTTAAAGTTCTTGAGTCCACTCCTTGTAGTAAAGTCAGGGGTATGAAAAATTTAAACTCTGCCTAAGGGTCTTTTATTTTGCGATTCCATGATATATTATCACTGTGGTTGGTGTTAATCACAGCAGCTGTTCGTACTGAGATTCAAGGTTGTGTGACAAGGACACAACCCTGTTGTGTTAGGTCGGTAGGTTGATAGTTCTCCGGTTTGTAGAGTGGTGCTAGTAGAACTTACTATTTTGTCATTTCTGCCGTTGGCTTATCTGAATCTGGCCTTCGCCATGATATTAGGGGCAGTGTTTAAGATAATTCACTTCCTAGTCACAAACTGATGAGTCTCTCATGAGCTATATTCAATGAAAAGTGGCTAGTCTTGGATGAGAGAGTACAAGAAAGTATTTGCCATCCCAGTTTCTCAGTCATCACACAGTCTTAATAGTGTCTATCTTTTTTCATGTGTGTACAAACTACTGGTTCTAAATTAATTTGGCAAAGAAGTCCATTTGACTGGACCCAAACCAGAAGATGGAATCTAGTATTTGCAAGTACCTTCACTTCTTTTCAGAGAGTCACACAGAAATATCATTTTGACATTGAAACAAAACTTTCTACTTTTTGTAGAATGTGCTGGCTAATGTCCCTAATAAGAAACATAAGTAAATTGTCACATAGGAATTTTAGATGACTGATAATCTGCGGATTCTGAGGCCCTGGCTAAGATGTTGTTTCTAAAGATGTTCTTTCTAAAGCAGAATTTCCTTTCCAGAACTCTTCAGTGGCACCCATGTGAGGGTAAAATCTGTCCCTAACATAAAACTGTCAGTAGTCAGCAAACATTTGAGACTCAGTTGAGTCCATTTTTGTCCTTAATTATCCAGGAAAATTGCATCAACTTGCAAGTTTCCTATGTTCACCGTGTGTTTGTTTTTCTCCATCTTTCTAGTTTTGTAATGTCTCACCCCATCTTTCCTTGTAAAATCCTTTATGGTCCTGACAGCACAGATGTGTACATGCCTTGTAAACACCACGTAGCCAGTGACTGCCAGCTCAGAGGGTTTGGCAGATGAGATGTAGGAGCATCAGAAGGATGCTAGGAACCGTTGTATGGACTCAGTGGAGGGCCCGATTCTCCAGGCTCTGGAGAAGCAGGAGCAAGAGGGCAAGCTTGAGAACTTTCCCAGAATGCTACCCCCAAAGAGTACAGGCCTTGGGATGAAGGATGAGATGATAGACCCAGCTATGATTGGATAGCCTGTCCTGTGGACAAATCATGGCAGTAATTACTTCGCTGTCGGACTCTGCCTTCCTTTGATGGGTGATGTGTGTACTGCATTAGCTCTCTGAGGCTGGTCCTTATGAGTTCAGTAGATCTTTATTTATTTATTATTTATTCTTGAGTTAAGGCAGAAAGATGTGTTTTGAGTCATCTGCTTAGTGGTAAAGGGACACCACTCAGTTAAGGCATAAAACCACTAGCGACCGAGCAAGCGGTAGGAATGGAAACAACAGTTGTAAAGTAGGCTGTACTAGAGAGTAATGGCTGATCCGTGCTGCCCTGTTCCAGGTCTCAGTGTTTCTAGTGCTGAGAGATCCTGTGTTGTTACCCTGTTACTTATCACTGCTACTGTTACTTATTTGGGGAAGAAGAAAATGAGCTGAAATGAGTTTAGGATGGTACTACTTCACATGTGGTCTGGAACCTGCTGCTGGGTAGAGATCTTTAAAACCAGAGTGCACGGCCATCATGGTGGGGAGCATGGCATTATATTGGCAGACATGGTGCTGGAGCAGTAGCTGAGAGCTCACATCTTGAGATACAACCATGAAGCAGAGAGAGAGAGAGAGAGAGGGAGAAAGAGAGAAGGCAAGAGAGAGAAAGAAGGCAAGAAAGAGAGAGAGACTGGGAATGGCATGGAGTTTTCAAGTGACATACCTCCTCCAACAAGATCATGGCCACACCTACTAATCCTTCCCAAACAGTTCCACCAACTAGGGACCAAGTATTTAAATATATGGTTCACATTCAAGCCAAACTGCGGCTTTACCCAGTCAACTGTTTTTATTTTTTAGAAGGTTTTTATTAAAAGGAAGTTTTATTTTAATTTTTATTTATGGGTATGTATGTATATCTCTCTGTGTGTATGCCACATATATGCAGGTGCCTGTGGAGCCTAGAAGAGGGCATTAGATCTCTGGGAGGTCTGAGCTGCCTGATATGGGTACTGGGAACTGAGTTTGGGTCCTCCCAGAAGAGCACGAAATGCTCTCAACCACTCAGCAATCGCTCCAGTTCCAATGTTCATTTTTTTTTTTTTTAAATAGAATACATATGCTTGTTCAAAAATGTCACATAATGGGCAGTTGGACATGATATAGTACATAACTATAATTCCAGCACTAGGAAGACAAGAGTCAAGAGAATCTCCAGGCCTAGTCCCGCCTGGGCAGCACGGTTCATACAATACATTCTTTCAGGTCCAGCGTATTTTGTTCAGCATAACGTCCTTGCAGTTTATCCCTGCATTCGTTATGTCATCAGTTTGTACCCTTTATCACGGACTGTGTTCCCGATTTGCCTGCCAGTTTTTCTTGTTGATTTGGACTATGAATAATCTCTGTGTGTACCTCCTAGAAGACGCATATCTGTGTACATATATTTTCCTTTCTCTGTGGGCAAACACGTGTGAGTGAGATCACTAGTCGAAGAGGTCCTGTGTCTCAGCTCCTTGGAGAATTCTCCGGTTTTGTGCCGCGGGAGTAGATTGCCATTGTTCTGTGTCCTGGCCGGCATTTGTGCTGTCGGCGCTCTCTCATGGTTGCCGTTCTCTCATGGTGGATTGCTTTTGTTCCCTAATGACTAATGGTGCTGGACATATTCTCATGGGCATATTGCTCTTCCTTAATGAGGGGGTCTGTTCATTTATTTTGCCCAATTTTAGAAATGAGCTCCTATTGTATTAGTGATCTGTAGGCATTTTTTTATGTGTTCCTCAATCCAGTCCATTGTCATCTATGTTTTATAAAACACTGTTTTCCTAGAACACCCAGTACATCTCTTTAAATGACCATTTGATAGACAGAAATTTTAATTTTCTTTGTGCGTGCATGCATGTATGCGTGCGTGTGTGCATGCGTGAGTGTGTGCGTGCTCGTGTGTCCATTGGAGGAGTGTGGAAGTCAGAGGTTGTCACTAGGTGCCTCTTATTGAAACTGGAGCTTCCCAGACTGGCTGGCCGACGAGTGCCCCTCCCCCAGACCCCACCTGTCTATGTGCTGGCCTCCAGCCCTGGGGTTAGAAATGGGTTACTGTGTGGGGCTTTCAGGAGGTGCTGGGATTCTTTACCACTAAGTCAGCTTTCCAGCCCAGCGCTTTTTTATTTTGATGAAGTTTAATGCAACTTCTTTGTGTGTGTGTGTGTGTGTGTGTGTGTGTGTGTGTGTGTGTATGTGAGAGAGAGAGAGAGAGAGTGAGAGTCTTGTTATGTAGTGTAGGATAGTATCAAAACCACTATCCTCCTGCCCCTACCCTCCCAGTGCTGGGATTATAAACATAGATCACAATTTCTGACTCTTATGCAGTGTGTGTGTGCTTTTTGCTTTTCATATACAGTCTTTGCTTGTTCCCAGTTCATGATGATATTTTGCTTTGTCTAATTGAAAAGATTTAGTTTTAGCTTTTATGTTATGGTCTATTAA